AGAAGGGCCAGGCAGCCGTGTGGGGCTGCGCGCATCGGCCGTCTGGGGGAATCCATTTAAATTTCTTTTGAGATGAGACTGTAACCGAGCTGCCATGGGCTCTCCCAGTGCTCCATCGTGTCTCAGGGACACTGCGCAGGGGCGCATTGTTCTGAGATGCAGGGGACCACTCAGCAACCCAAGGCGGGGGAAGAGACCAGGAGCTCCTGAGAATGCGGGACTTGCTGGAGGGTGACCCGGGGCCAGGGAGAGTCAGTCCAGCTGCGTGCTGCCAGCGAGGGGCCCACCCCCGACACAGTCTGGGGTCCCCGCAAGCGTCTCTGGGTGGCCATGAATTGGCCATGAATCAGAACCCTGCTTCAGAGATCCAAAATAAACCTTTTTTTTTCTTTTTGGGTCACATCCGGAATTGCATAGGGGTTATTCCTGGCTCGTGCACTCAGGAACTACTGCTGACGGTGCTTGGGGTACCATATGGGATGCTGGGAATCGAACCTGGATCAGCCACTTGCAAGGCAAATGCCCTACCTGCTGTGTTATCGCTCCTGCCCCTATTTATTATTATTATTATTATTATTATTATTTTAAATAAAACTCGGGTCGGCCATGTTGGCTGCGTGCAAGGCAAATGCCCTACCCGCTATGCTATCGCTCCAGCCCAGCAGAAAAAACAAAAAAGTGACAAATCAAATCAAAAAACAAACCAAAAACACCAATGGGACCAGAGATGTGTCTCGTGGCCAAGAGATCTGGGCTCGATCCCTCCGACTGCAACAGAAACAAACAAGAGGACATTGGTGCCAGAGAGCAGGGTCTGAGGGCACAGCGGGAGGTACAGGGCCGTGTTCCGGGGCCAGCCTGGCACCGTGCCCCCACCCCATCTGCCCATTCCCTCCAACCTCAGGGCCAGCCCCATGGCCTAGCAGAGGAAGGGTGTGAGGGATGCACAGCACGAAACCCCTCCCCAGACCTTCTGCTGTCCAGTGCTTGGGCTGGAGCCGAGAAGAAACACCCACAGTCGCTTCTCAGGACCCTCTTAACATCACAGGCCCTTGGGGGTTTGTGGGAGACCATCGGCAACTTACCAAGAGAGGAAGACGTCTGGGTGCGGCACCTGATGCAATTCCTCTGGTGGGGCCCAGGGCTTCCTGCCCTCTCGCTCCTGGTGGAGCAGTTCTGGTGCTACCCGCATCTCTCGGCCCCGTCCGTGTTTTTTTTTTTCCTTTTTTTTTTATCTATTTTTTCAAATAACCATCACTCCACCAGTGCCCATTTCCCACCACCACGGATCCCAGTATCCCTCCCACCCCCCATCCTCCCCATCCCACCCTGCCTCTGTGGCAGGGCATTCCTCTTTGTTCTCTCTCTCTTTTTGGGTGCTGTGGTTTGCAAAAGACTTAAACTTGATTTTTCAGGGAGAAATGTTGGATGATTTGCTTTCCATTGATCGCTTTGTATATAAGGAAATGTTACGCAGCCGCGTGGTTCAGAAAAAATGTCCTGGTACCCGCATGCCAGAGCCATGCTTGTAGAAGCTCATGGTCACCGGGGTTCCATCTGGAGAAGGCGGGACGGCAGCACCTACCCCATCTGGGACCTCCCGGTGATCTCGGCTCTGTTTGGGACCTGGAGCATTCTCTGGGAGCTGTGGGGCCCTCCAGCCGGTTTTCTTCTTTGTTGCTGTGTGCTGTAAGATGGCGCTGGGGGGCGAGTTGTGGACGTGACTTCGGAATCAGAGGTTGCCTGGGAGCTGGTGCGGCCCCATTGCAGTTTGGAAAAAATGTCCTGGTACCCATATGCCAGAGCTATGCTTGTAGAAGCTCATGGTCACCAGGGTTCCATCTGGAGAAGGCGCCCCGTCCATGTTTTTAATGTCTATGTGCTGTTATTTTAAAGAAATAATGGCACAATTTTAAGCTTTCTATGATGGTCTCACCCTGCATTTTTCTTTTGTAAGGATTTGACATAAACATCCGTGGTGATTGGGACCCGAGAGGAGGCACTTGCCTTGCATGCAGCTGACACGGGTTCCATCTTCCATCCCCAGCAACCCATATGGTCCCTCAAGCACCACCAGGAGTGGCCCCTGAGCACTGAGTCAAGAGTCAGCCCTGAGCACCACCAAGTGTGGCCCCAAATACAAACTGACCTATGGTGATGCTGTGAAACCCAGGAAGGTTACGAGCTTGTGGACGTAGTCCTGAGAGGGCCTGAGGGGCTCCCGGCTCCCCCCAGGACAGGCGTGAGGCCTTCACCGCTGCCTTGGGTGAACGCTACACCCACTGCCCCTTTGACCCCAGGATGGGGAAGTCAACTCAGACCCCGGGCCTGCAGGTCTGTGCGTCTGCCCGCACACTAAGCTGAGCAGAGGCCTTGCTGCCTCCCTGCCTCGCACCTGCCCACGCTGCCCGCCAGTGTGAGCCAGCAGCCTGGCAGTATGCCCACTTCAGCTCAGGCTGCTGGCCTGGTTTGGTGTTGGGACCCTAGCCAGCAGTGCTCAGGGCTACTGGGCTCAGGAGTGACCCCTGGAGGTACTTGGAGGTCCAGATGGGGACTCAAGGCAGGCCATCCCACAGGGACGGCCAGTGCCCCGAGGTCAGTCAGGCTTCCTGAAACACCCTGGAATCTAGGACCTAGCCCAGTGGTGCAGCATGTGCTCTGCACGTACAAGTCCCCAGGTCTGACCCCCACCCACCTCCAAAAGCTTCCACTGAACCCCCGTGTAAGGGCCGGGGTACATGCCATGCCTGCTTGTGAGCTGAGCTTGATCCCTGGGCACTGCTGGGTCTGAGCACTGAGGTACCACATGGAGCCAGGAGAGGCACCCGGGGGGAAGGCCCCAGCCCCAAATACACACATAACTTGTAAGAATTAATTAGCGGAGGGAGTAAGACATAAAGGTAAGGTAAAGGTAAAGGCCCTCCCGTTGATCATCGATTTGCTCGAGCGGGCCCAGTAACGTCTCCATTGGAGACTTTGTTGTTACTGTGTCTGGCATATCCAATACTCTCAGTAGCTTGCCGGGCTCTCCGAGAGGGGCGGAGGAATCGAACTCGGGTCGGCCATGTTGGCCGCTTGTAAGGCAAACGCCCTACCCGCTGTGCTATCGCTCCAGCGAGTAAGACATGTGGCATCTTTATTCAGAGACCCAGCCTCTCAAATCAGTTTGCTTTCCTTAAAAAGGGATTGGGGGGGGGGAGGGGGGCTGGAGCAATAGTGCAGCAGGTAGGGCCTTTGCTTTGCACGGGGCCGACCCAGGTTCAATTCCCAGCATCCCATATGGTCCCCTGAGCACCGCCAGGGGTAATTCCTGAGTGCAGAGCCAGGAGTAACCCCTGTGCATGGCCGGGTGTGACCCAAAAAGAAAAAAAAAAAAAGGAATCAAGGGGCTGGAGAGATGGCAAGCAGGTATGGCGTCTGCCTAGTATGTGGCCGACCTGGGTTCAGTTCCTGACAGATGGTCCCCTGAGGCCCACCAGGAGTGACCCCTGAGTACTGTGGGGTGCGGCACCCCCCAAAAAAATTGAGAAAAAATTCAATTCTAAAATCATCAGAGAGGGGCTGGAGCAATAGCACAGCAGGGAGGGCACTTGCCTTGCATGCGGCCAACCTGGGTTCAATTCCCAGCATCCCATATGGTCCCCTGAGCACCGCCAGGGGTAATTCCTGAGCGCAGAGCCAGGAGTAACCCCTGTGCATTGCCGGGTGTGACCCAAAAAGCAAAATAAATAAATAAAATAAAATAATCAGAGAAAAACTAGAAAAATCTGTGGGGGACAGAGAGATAGTACAGCAGGTAAGCCCTTGCACACAAGTGACCTGGGTTTGATTCCGAACCCCAGGTGTGATTCCTGAGCACTGGGCCAGGAGTAAGGCCTGAGCACCTCTGGATGTAACAAAAAGAAAAAAAAGAAAAGAAATGAGTAGCTGTTTCTTTCAGAGCAGGAATAACCACTCCCAAGTGCTCACCAGGCTTCTCTGTATAACAAACAAACCCCTCCGGCTTGGACATTTTTATCATGCACCAACTGGAAGCAGGAGGAAAACTAGTTAAACTGTAAGGGTGCGCGGCCACTCGCCGACACAGTGAACGCTGACAGGGAAGCTCCACAGTTCTGCAGACGCTTTGCTTCAGGAACCGGCTTCGGCAGAATCAAAGCGGGGCCCTTTGAAGAACAAAGTTTCGGGGGCTTGATGGAACGAGAAAAGAATCATTATACATTCGTGACGGATCCATCAGAGGTTTTGCTTTAATCCGTTTCCATCCAAGTCATGAAAGACCAGCTTCTGATCTTTCGCGATTTTTCCATCTGGAGAACAATGTTTCATTCACCAATTCAAGGTGACAAAGGGATTAAAAAAAAAAAAATCCACCAGGAAAGGGAGGCATGAAAGACGGTGCGGCTGATGGCTACTTCATCCTGGCTCCCAAGTGGCTGGCAGGAAGATCATTGAGAGTTTTAATAGAAATGATCCACCGAGAAAGGACTCAGGTCACAGAGCCAGCTGACCAAACGGAGAACCTTCGCACCCAGATGCAGTGTGGAAGCATCACCCTGGGGACCCCAAGAGGCAGCAGCCTTGAAGGGGAGACGTGTGCTCACCTCTCCCATGGCAACCCCTGCAACCAGGAGCCGGGGTGCCCCCGAGGAGAGCATGGCGCCCATGCCCTGTCCCTGTGCCGGGGTCTCGAGAAGCACCTCCAGCATCTGCACTTGACTCCGACTGGCGGTGAGGAAAGAGAGGGAGGTTCACACGTGAGTGGGGTCCTTACACACCAACACTACCCTGGACCCCCACCATGGGGCCCTGGGCCCAGGTAACCTGAAAGGATGAAGGAACATCTTCCAGTTCAAGTGACATCTCATTCCCCACCTCCCTATCCGCGGGGGATGCTCAGGACCCTGGCAGGCAGCATTTTCAGCAGTAAAACCAGAAAGCTCTATTTAAAAATATGCGCACAGCTTAGGAGATAAAATTTTATTTATTTATTTATTAATTTTTTTTTTTGCTTTTTTGGGTGACACCCAGTGATGCTCAGGGGTTACTCCTGGCTCTGCACTTAGGAGTTACTCCTGGAGGTGCTGGGGAGACCATATGGGATGCCGGAGATCAAACCCGGGTCGGCCGTGTGCAAGGCAAATGCCCTACCCGCTGTACTATCCATCTGGCCCCAGGAGATAAAATTTTAAAAACGTCTTTTTTTTTTTAAATAGTGTAGTGGATATTCCAAACGAGTAGCTGTACCAAGAGAGAAGAAATCTAAATGGCCACGGCTCGGGCATATAAAAAAGACCTGGAGGCCACGCGTCTCTTCAGGAAACACATCTCTCTCCCTTGATACCATCCTCTGCCTCCGGCGTTATCCACTGAGTCCCAGCACCCCGCTGGATACCGGGGTGGGGGGTGGGGGACGGGAGTGGTCACAGCTGCTGGCTGCTGAAGAAGGACTTGGTCTCCCTGCAGGCAGGATTCACGCAGAGCGGGCAGCTGAGTGTCAGCTGCGTGGAGCAGCGCTCGTTGGACCGGATGTGTGCGTGCACCAGGTCGGCCAGGGCCTGCGGGGGACCAACGACAGACAGCGGGGGGTCAGAGCAAGACGGGGCTCCCCTCCCCGCACTTTGCCCCGCATCACGGTTTGGGGGTCCCCGAGTCTGACTCAGGCATCTTTGCCCAGGACCCCGCCCCTTAGGGGGCTGCCCAACCCGGGGGCCCTGCAAGGCTCTGGAAGGCCAAGGATGGGCCACAGCTGGAGGAGGAGGAAATGAGAAGTGGAGGGGGATGGAGTGGGGGTGGGGGGCCGCCAAGGGGAGGAAGGCGCACGGACGGAATTCAATTTTATGTCCGTGATTAATCGGAACTCCGAATGTTCTAACAGGTGAGGAAAGCAATATTCTGTGCCAGCCTCTCAGGGCGCCTCTCCCGATGTTCGACGCGGGCGGACGAGCAGGCGCGCGAGCGGTGGTACCTTGGAGAACAATGGATTTCCATTAAGGGACTCTGCTCGGCGGATGCTCTCGGCTCCACACTGCATCGGAGGGGAAAGAGAGGTGAAACACACACGCATGTCTCCTACAATAAATACACACATGCACGCACGCACACAAGCGCGCGCGCGCACACAGGCACACACCACACACACGCGCACGTGCGCGTGCGCGCGCACACACACACACACACACACACACACACACTTTGAGACATGCATCTACAATTCAGCCTGACTTCAGAAGCCCCTGCTGGGAAATGAAAGCCCCCCCATCACGGCATATGCCCTGGTGCTGAGCTGTCACCGACTCCTGCTCACCGAAGGCAGCTGGTTGCCAGGGCATGGCCCGCCAGAACCTCAATACGTTGGCTCGCCCTGCCCGGCTCGCTCAGCCTCCCCTCTGCAGCAGGAAGCTGCTTCAGGGAAGTTCAGACAACCCCCTGTGACTCCAAGTGGCAAAAAGAAGTGTAGGTTTGAAGCAGATTAAACCTAGAGTGGATCTGTTGTACAGAATGATTTAAAAATGAAAATCTGAGAATTTGGGCTGGAGAGAGTCCTGTGGGCTGGAGCCCCGACTTGGCTCAAAGGAGGCCCAGGTTCCATCTCGGACACCACAGGGTTCTCCCCAGCACCACCAGGAATGACCCCTGAGCACAGAGCTGGGCCTATCCCAGCAACAAAACAAGAAAAAAATGGATCTGAGGAATATGTCACTACAACCCCTGCTCCCCCTTTCCAGAAACATCCACTTGATGGCTCCTCAAATAATTGAGAAGTGTCTCATCACTGTTACTTGGGCAACTAGTACAACTAGCACTTTTTTCCTTTCTCTTTCTGAAACGCTAGCGGTCTGTCCAACGTTTTACCCTTCATGTTAGCGTGGACATCAGATTGCCACAGGGGAAACGCTGAGAGTCAGAACTGCCTATTCGCCCCTTAAAAAGCTCACCCTAAACTTCATGGGGGGGACCATGCTGGCAAGTTATGGTTTAGGTTGATGTTTCATTTGTTTTTAATTTAGGTGCCGGGGATGAAACTTAGGTCAGCCACATGCAAGGCAAGTGTCTTACTCCCGGACTAGATCTCCGGCCCCCAAACCATGTCTTTAACCACTGTTTAATTCTGCTGGGTTTGGAGGTCACACCAGGCGGTATCTGGAAATTTCAGCAGTGTTGGAAGAAAGTCAAAGTGCACATTTTCTACTGGGCAAAGCAGTGAAATATGTACCAGATTCAACTTCCACTTCTAAGCATCTCCCCCTCAGAAAATAACTGGAAGAGAAAATGAAGTTTATTCCAAAAAAGTTTATGCCTAGAAACATCAGAAACACCTTCAATACATGGCATGGGAACAGAGTGTGTCTAAAACCCAACTGTGAATAGTTGCAAATCACAGGGCTTCAAAAAAAAAATAAAATAAATAAATATATATTTTTTGATTTAAAAAAGAAACACCTGCAGTATATATTAATCAGGGATTTCTTTTAAAGATTGATGTAGAATTAGCTTTATTGACTTGGGTCCATAGTATATTTTTCAGGGGAACAGGGCTAGGAGACAAAATGAATTCAACAACTATTCCTGCAAGAAGGTGCAGAGGCAGCTGGGGAGGTCTCCAAGGGCCGGGGAGCAGCGGAACGTTGGGGGGCGGGTGCTGCTCCAGCACCCAAGGGCCGATGATGCTCCCCATCAGTGCTCCCCACCAGGCAGAGGCAGCAGGAGGCCTTGGTCCTGCAGGTATGACCCCCAGACAGGAACAAACCCGAGATCAGATCTGAAAGAACATGACCTTTCCTTCAAACACAATATTTAGATGGAAGAGATTTATCATGGGACTAACATTATCCTTCCAGAGGTTAATTTACCAAGATACTAACATTCTTCCTCCAGGCCAAGACTGAGCAGTTTCTACTCCCTATATTCCTCTGAACAATCACTTTTATTATTTAAAAAAAAAAATCAACAAAGGTATTTCCATCTGGGGAAAATCTCACACCACTTCTGTGGTGGGGACTGTCGAAGTCGGGGCCAGCAGCGCACTGCACTCCAGGCTCTGTGTTCGGGGGTCCCTCCTGACACCTGTAGTACCAGGGACTGAACTAGGGTCACCCTTGTTGGGCAAAGATCAGCCCCTTTGCCCTGGTCCTCCAACTACCTTCTACTGCCGTTACTACTACCCCTGTAGCCCTCAAACTACCTTCTGTGCAAAGACTCCGCTGATTAAAGCATTAGTATAGCGGGGAGGGCATTTGCTTACATGTGGCCAACTCAGGTTCAACCCTGGCATTAGATATGGTCCCCTGAACACCACCAGGAATAATTCCTCAGTGCAGAGGAAGGAGTAATCCCTGAGCACCGCTGGGTGTGACTCAAAAAGAAAAAGAGGGCTGGAGTGATAGCACAGCAGGTAGGGCATTTGCCTTGCATTCAGCTGACCTGGGTTCGATTCCCAGCATCCCATATGGTCCCCTGAGCACCGCCAGGGGTAATTCCTGAGTGAGGAGCCAGGAGTAACCCCTGTGCATTGCCAGGTGTGACCCAAAACACACACACACACACACACACACACAATAGAAACAGCTATCAAGTTCTCTGCAGTACAATTCAAAAAGCAAAACACCCTTCACTAGAAGGGAGAAACCAATATTGGTTAAACTGAACAGAATGTGATAACCTGCCAAATCTGAACAGCCGCTCCATGAAAACAGGTTAATGCATGATATTAGAAAGGAGAGGAGTATTAACTGGCGCAGTGCTCTGCAGTCTCAGATTACAAAAGCAAGCTTTCAAATATCGATTTCATAGAATATGCATATATATGTATAGAGGGTAATTTGAGGGCAGGAGAGATAGGACAGAGTTAAGGGGCTTGGCTTAGCCTGTGGACGACTTTAGTTCAACCCCCAGCACATGTACATAAATACGTCTTTTTATAAATATATAATTTATGTAATTTTTTAAAATTTATATATAAATTAATATAATATATAATTATTTATTTATTTATTTTGGCTTTTTGGTCACACCTGGCAATGCACAGTGGTTACTCCTGGCTCTGCACTCAGGAGTTACTCCTGGCGGTAGCTCAGGGGACCATATGGGATGCTGGGAATCGAACCCCGGTCAGCTGTGTGCAAGGCAAACGCTGTGCTATCATTCCAGCCCCCAAACCAGCTTTTAAAGTAAAGGTTTTCTTGTTTCTCTGACACGGACTATTCAGCCACGGAACCACTAGACCCTCACAGGGGGCCTGCATGCCCCCTACCCATGCACCCCACCTCCCTGAGCTCTGACGGGTGCGTCCCCCCTCCCCATCCTGCCCTGTGCCTGCCCCCGCCCGGGGCTTCTCCGAGGCCAGTCCCCCACCGACCACACGCGGACCACCGGAGCTGGCGGTGTCCTGGGAGCCCCCCAATGGGTCGGGCTGGGCGTAGGGACCCGAGCGCGGGCAGCCGCCCTCGCCAGGTGTTTTTCTCGACTCTGCCTGCGAAGTCACATCCATCTTCCGCTACCAGACAGGAGGGAAGGCGCCTGTGATTTCGATAATCAGATTGATCACGGCACGGCCCCAACAGCTAATTAACGGCGTGCGTGAAGGGGTCGAGGGGGCGGCACACGCGCGCGCGCGGGGGGCCCCCAAGCTGCACGGGGCTGCCAGGGACGGAGGGGCCCGGGACAGGGGGCGAAGGCAAAGGGGGTCTCGCTCCCCCACACCTCCCTCCTCTTCACTGGCGACAAGCACTGTGTTTTTTTTCTTAAGAAAATGCAATTTTTTATTCATTTTTTTTAAGGGGGACGGTTGGGGTTTGGGCCACACCCAGCAACGCTGGAGCTCACTCCCCGCTCTGCACGCAGGAACTACGCCTGGCCGGGCTCAGGGGACCAGATGTGATGCCGGGGATCAAACCCAAGTCGCCCCGCCTCGTGCAGGGTGAGCCCCATCAGTACTCTCTGATCCCTCAGGGCCCATCTGCATTCGTCTGAAGGTGCCAGAACTGAAGGCGAGCATGCAAGTGAGTCCCCCGTGGGTCTGGAATGAATGAGGAGTACCCAACTCTCTCCCTGGGCTCAGTGGGGGCTGTTCCCCGCAGCACACCGGCACAAGGCCCAAGGTGTTGGCAAACCTGCACCCGCCCGGCCTGTGTGTTTTGTTTGTTTTCATCCCCGGTTTCTTTTTTAAACTTTCTCTTTAAAAAAATTTTTTTAAGGGGCTGGAGTGACAGCACAGTGGGTAGGGTGTTTGCCTTGCAGGCAGCCGACCCAGGTTCGATTCCCAGCATCCCATATGGGCCCCTGAGCATTACCAGGAGTGATTCCTGAGTGCAAGGCCAGGAGTAATCCCTGTGCATCACCAGGTGTGACCCGAAAAGCAAAAAAAAAAAAAAAAAAAAAAAAAAATTCAAAATGGGGCTGGAGTGATAGCACAGTGGGTAGGGCGTTTCCCTTGCACACAGCCAACCTGGGTTCAATTCTGAGCATCCCATATGGTTTCCTGAGCACCGCCAGGAGTAATTCCTGAGTGCAGAGCCAGGAGTAACCCCGGTGCATCACCGGGTGTGACCCAAAAAGCAAAAAATAAAAGTAATAAATAATAATTTTGGGACCTGGACAGAAGGCTAAGGCACACCATATGGTCCCCCAAGTTCTGCCAGGAGTGACCCCTGAGTTGCAGGGCTAGGTGTCACTCCTGAGCCCCAAAACAAACAAAACCCCCCTGCTTCTACGGATGGCGATCCCATGCCTTCCAACACTGCTAGTGCCAGTTTACCATGCCCCACACACGTCACCGGTGCACCCACCTCTCTCCCTGAGGACCCCCACTCCCCCCCCAACACGGTGTCTTCGAGCCCCCAGGAGGGCGCTTACCTCCTGGGCCAGCACCTGCGAGCACTCGATGTCCAGCTCGTACAGCGTCTCAATGTGATCGCTGGTGAAGGCGATGGGGACCAGCAGGATGTTCTTCCGGCCCCTCTTGCACAGCCCCCGGATGGTCTCCTCCGTCTGAGGGCCCAGCCAGGGCATTGGCCCCACCTGGGGAAAAGGGCAGTATGCCGGGATTGACCGTGCACTGAGGCCCCTGCCTCCTCATGGAGCAGACACCCTCGTTTCTGCCGTGGCGAGTAAGAATCACACAACAAAAAACACAGCCACAAAGTCCAAAGGGAGAGAGAGTCCAGGGACGAAGGTGCGTGCTGACCCTTGCTCGAATCCCCCGCACCACACAGGGTCCCTGACCAGAGCCAGGAGCCAGCCCCGAGCATCACCAGGTGAGGTCCAAACAAAAACCAAAATTATCTTTGAAATGCAGCAGCCTCAACGGTTCCTTCAATTGTGTCCTGTGGCAGGTTCTGTGGCTCAGGGCGCGTCGGGTCTGTCTGTCCATCTGTGCACAGCCCTGACCCTGACGCTTTTCTACCATGCTCCCGCCCCCTTTCCCAGGCGGTTGTGCTGACCGGCGGCGACCTACCTTGGACTGCCACACCAGCCGGTAGGGGTTGGAGAAACCTAGCTTGTCCATGACCCTCTGGACGGTGGCCCCCACCTCCTGGGGGTAGGGGTCCCCTCTGTTGACCACCTGCAGCAGAGACAGATGGGGTTCAGTGGCCCCAGGGGAAGGTGCGGGCTGAGCAGGCAGATGGGGGACACGCAGACCCCCAAGACAGAGACTCCTGCAGGCAAGACCCCCCCCCCAGATGGGCCATTGGGGGACAATGGTCAGAGGAGGAACAGGCTTTTCCAAAGGGTCAAGATCACTCCCTGAAGACTTTTCTTAGGCACCAGGAAAAAAAAGAGAGAAACTTGGAGCTGGAGCGATAGCACAGCGGGTAGGGCGTTTGCCTTGCATGCGGCTGACCCAGGTTCGATTCCCAGCATCCCATATGGTCCTCTGAGCACCGCCAGGAGTAATTCCTGAGTGCAGAGCCAGGAGTGACCCTTGTGCATCGCCAGGTGTGACCCAAAAAGCAAAAAAAAAAAAAAAAAAAAAAAAAAAAAAGAGAAACATGAACAATGCCAAATCTTGAGGTGGGCAGCATACCAGGTAGGGCTCTAGTCCCAACCCGGCATCCCATACGGTTCCCCAGCACCGCTGGGAGAAAGGCCTGAGCACAGCCGGGTGTTGTGGAAAAACAAACCAAGAAAAATAAATCAATAAATGGAACACAAGGTGTCTGCCCCACTGGGCCTAAGGCAGTGGCCGAGGATCCCCTGAGACCGGGAAACACCGCGCGGAGGGACTTCAGAGCCCGTGAAACAGAACCGCCACCTAACGGGGAGACGAGGTGGCTGCAAATGGGGTCCCCTGCGAGCTGACCGGCCCCCTGCCAAAAGCCCCCGAGACAGGGGCGAGTCCTGGGCTGGCGGCCAAAGGCACCAGAAGATGACAGTGAGGCCATTGGTCAGCAGGACCTAGCCAAGAGAGCCATGCCCACGGCCCACTGGCCCGCCTGGCCTCGCGCAGACCAGTGGGATGAGACCAATGGGGGCAGCGCCAGCGCACAGCCTGACGCTCCCTGGGGAACAAGGTCCCTGTCGGATCTCTGCTGAAGAGCAGGAATGGGGCGAGGCGGGGCAGCAGCACTCAGTCCCCAGGAGCCTCCCGCCCTCCCCCCTCCCCCGCCCCCAAATAAAGCCAGACGGGACCCAGGGCTTCTGGGCTGCACATGCAGGAGCACTGGGCCAGGCCCCTGCAGGGCCGGCCTGTGCAGCCTGCCCTGCTGCCAACGGCTCCCAGCAGGAATTCCCGCACATCCCTCTACCTCCCAGGACCCCGGAAGGGACCGAGGCCCGCAGCCAGCTTGCAGGGCGCCCCCGGAATCAGGACTAGGCCCTGAGGAGGGCTGCCGGGGTGCGGATGTTGCAGGGGGCCACCCCTCACAGCCCAGCCCCCTCACGCACCGACAGGGGCAGCGAGTGAGCGGAGAAGAGGATGACCACGTCTCTTCTCTTCTCGGGCGGGAACTGCTCCAGTTCCTTCTGAATGTTTTCTGCAAAGCACTGTGAGGAGAGCGAGAAAGAAGAACTGTGAGGCTGGGGAGATGAAGGAGATGGGGAAAAAAAAAATAAAAAGGATGGGGCAGGAGCGACAGCGGGTAGGGCATTTGCCTTGCAAATGGCCGACTTGAGTTCGATTCCCAGCATCCCATATGGTCCCCTGAGCACCGCCAGGAGTGATTCCTGAGTGCAGAGCCAGGAGTAACCTCTGAGCATTGCCTGGTGTGACCCAAAAAGCAAAAAAAAAAAAAAAAAAAAACAAATTTCTCAGAGGGTAAGGAGAGTGATGGGGTGACCCGGGACCGAGAGCTGCCACCAACGGTGCAGTCATGTATGTCCCGCTTTGGGGTCCATCATCCAAACGGTTACGGTGGGACGGGGGTTTAACCAGGAAACCTCTGAAGCTGGCTAAGGGCTCGATGGCCCCCTGCAGCTGGAGAGGAGCCGGCGGGGACGCTGCGTGCAGGCCTCCCACTTCGCCCGGCTAGCAGGAAAAGCGCTTACGGCGTGGTTCTCCGGCTCCTGACTCTGCTTTCAGGAGAACACGCAGAGGACAGAAATAGCGGAGTAAGAAAAGACGGTTCTATTTTTACCACCGTTTCCTCCTGAGCCCCTGGGACCTTCCCGGAGACAAACCTCACGAAATCCTTCCTAGAGCAGGAAAGGGGCCCCCCGACGCTTGTCCTTTCTGCACAGCTAGTTTCCAAAGGTGCCTGAGGTGGCCCACAGACCCGGCTGCCTGTCCGTCCAACAGGACCACGTGCGCTCTGCAGGCGGCGTTTTAGGGTGCTTAGGGGCCAAATTTCAAGGGGGTCTGGGAAGATGGACAAATTCTCGACATGTTCCAGGGAACAATTCACTGTACACGTGTGTACTTCTTAAAATATATATATATATATATACCAAGTGTGTCCATATGTAATTCTGCTCACTGCCTGTCAACCACAAAGGGCAAAACACTTTTCACTGGGAACCGATTTCCAGCATGCCCCGAACCTGACGAGACGAAAGCAGGGCATCATGGGATTCCCCTCCCTGCTGCTGAAACTCACTCATCGGACTATCCACTAGTTCCATGTGTTGGCTGCGCGTGCACCCGTGCGTCCGTACGGGCATCAGACCTTGGATCACAGGAGAGCACGTCGCCCCTTCCACGGCTGTGGGGTATTCGCTGACATGACCATGGATGCAGCTGCCTGGACTCATGTCCTAAAGTCCACCCCCCAATGCCCTCCAATGGACCCGCCCATCTCCTTCGTGGCACCTGCTCTGTGACTTAACCGACAAATAAGGAGGAAGATGAAGGATGCCCCCTGCGCCCTCATGTCTCGGCACCTAGTGGCCGGGACGGGATGGTGCCAACCTGAGAGAGGAGGCAGGGAGGAGTGGGTCTGAGGGAGGAGGCCTGGCCTTCCAGCCTGGGTTCCGCAGAGGAGACGCAGCAGCCCCCCAACCTTGGTGTCTGCATCTCTCCGCCTCGGACTCCTCAGGGGGACAATAATTGGGCAGCAGCCTAGGCCAGGAGGCCGCCGCAGAGCTGACCGGGCGCCTGGACCTCCGACAGACAGCAGGAGCGGAAGCAACATGAGAAGCAGGAGCAATGCAGGGGCTGTCCTGAGTGACATCCACCTCGGCCAAGGGGAACGGAGCTTTATAAACGGTTTTGTTAAAGCTGTATTTCTGGGGTGTGTGTGTGTGTGTGTGTGTGTGTGAGTGTGTGTGAGTGTGCGTGCACATCCGAGTGTGTGTCTGGGTATGTGTGTGTGAGTGCGCGTCTGAGTGTGTGTGTATCTGGGTGTGTGTGCGCGTGTGCGCGCGTCTGAGTGTGTGTGTGTGTGTGTCTGGGTGTGTGTAGCACGTGTCTGTGTGTGTGTGTGTGTGTGTCTGGGTGTGTGTGTGTGTGTGTATGTGTCTGGGTGTGTGTAGCGCGTGTCTGGGTGTGTGTGTGTGTTAAAACATCCCTGTTTGCTTACCAATCTCCTGCCATCTACCTGACATTCAGAATGAAACCCAGAAAGACTGCCCAGGAGAGCTCCTTTCCAGGAGAAGCTCAGGCAGAAACAAGCAGCACAGACCCAGGACAGACTCTCCGCCCTCGCCTGCCCACGTGGAGGGCGTGGAGGGCGGGCAGTAGGCCAGCAGCAGTGGGACCAGAATCACCTTGGATCCTTGGGGGGGGGGGGGGGGGGGCTTTCCTGACAGGATCCCCACCCCCACCCTCAGATGAAGGCTTCCTGGTGAAGAGTTGTTCCCTTCCCCTGCCTCCCCCTCTCAAAGGGCTGGATTTTCATGCAAATGGAATTCCTCTCTGGAGCGGGCAGGCAGATGCTGGGCAGGGCCCTCCATGGCTGCTGCCACATGTCAGGGCTGGCCTGAAACACGCCCCTTCCAGAGAAACACAGATCAGGGCAGGGCCAGCTGCAGGACACAGGCTGGACTCGGCCCAGAGCAGATGCACCCAGCTCCACGTCCGGGAGGGCCCAGCTTCAGGGGGCGGCAGGGCAGCTCAAGGGCTGGCACACATGCCTGGCACACGCCCGGTCCCCAGTTCCATCCCTGGCACTGCCTGCAGGCCCCCTCCGGATCTTGAAGTGTGGCCTTACGCCCCTGCCTTTCCTGAGGCCGGTATTTCCACAGTGGCCTTGCACACTGCTGAGGAGACCTTTCCCCAACCAGAAATCAAACAGGCCCTGGGGGTTTCACCCTGAATGCTTAGTCCCGGTCCACCTAAGGGACAAGAGGACCCAGAGGCACAGGCCCGCTGCGAGGGGGTGCAGCGCCACCTAGTGGCCAGTATTTTATCAACTGTTCAAAGGATAAAAACAAATTGGATGAAACCTAAGTGACTTAATCTTTCTCCTATCTAAAATAACTACGAGGCAGAGACGTCCACCAATGGAACGAAACTGTGCTATTAGCAACAGGACTCTTGTATACAAAGGGGAAAGTCTATAATCATATCAATTCAAAGCTATGGGCTTTAGAACCATAGTTGGGTTTGAATTTTTTTTGGGGGGTGGCTTCAGGGGAGATTGGATTTTAGGTCACACCTGGCAGTACTCAGGGACTATGGCCAGCTTGCTGCTCCGGAGACCACATGGTACTGGGGACAAACTCAGGCCTCCTGCATGCAAAAAGCCCTTCCAGTTCTCTCCCTGGCCCAAATAACTGCAGTTTTGACTGATTTCTAAAACTCAGGCATCTATGACTATAAATATTATAAATTACATAAGAGAAATTGAAAGTTTAACATCAGAAATGTTTTTCAACTGAAATGTTAACTTTCATATCTCAAACCATGTGGTTATTTGTATTACCTTTAAATCTGTTTACTCTTGGGGCAAGACTGATAGTACAGTGGGGAGGGCACTTGCCTTGCACACGGCTGACCCAGGTTCAATCCCTGGCATCCTATATGGTCCCCCAAACCCTGCCAGGAATGGTCCCTGAGCACAGAGCCAGGAGTAAACCTGAGCACCACTACAGTGACCCAAAATTTTAAAAAAAAATTAAATTTTTTTTTTTTTTTACTTTTGGCATTTAAAAAGATTCAGTACAGAGGGTTATTGGCTGGTCATTCAATCTACGAATGCAAATCATCTCGAACACTCTGCTTAGCAGCCTGAGAGACAGTACAGTGGGGAGGGGCTTACCTCGCCCATGAAACCTGGGTGGTACCCAGGCTTGATCCCCACACACACACCCCTGAGCACCACCAACGTGATCCCTGAGCCAGGGGGAAGCCATGAGCACTGTCAGGTGCGGCTCCAAAGTGAAAAACAAAGAAATAGCTCCCCTAGTCTTTCGTGGACGCCAGAGACGGTCGCACAGGAAACGCCCATATGAAGGTCTGTAACTTCATCACAGGGAAGGATGGAGCCTTCCGCCCGTCGTCATAAAGCAAGACCCTCACACTGTTTCCGAACCCACAGCACAAAGCCAGGGACAGGCTGCCCCGCGGGGGTGGGGGCGGGGAAGGGGCAGTGCCGGGGCGTGGGGGGCTTACCTGGATGAGAAGGGGGTGTGTGGGCCACCTGTCAATGGTGCTCCACTTCATCCCGGGCTGCCGTCCCGTCTCCCTGTAGTACCTGAAAATGGCGTTCAGGCTGCTACCTGCAAGACACGGGCCCTGAGCCACTGCAGCGGGACAGAGCGACAGAGGCCACCAGGCCAGGCTGCGCCCGCACTGGACCACCATCCCAGAGGCACAGATAGCTGAAAGGAGCGCCGACAGGCGTGTCCAGCCCGGAGCCAGGGAGGGGAGGGACACGCCATCACTCTCCGCAGGAACCAGGTCTTAGAGCGGGAACGTGTCCAACTGCTCTCCCCAAGATGAAGACATCAGCCCCACAACAGAGCATGTAGGTGTGAGGGACAGAGGTGAAGGGTTGAGTTTCCAGTGCTCACAGGCACTGTTTGATTCTATAAAGGCCTGAGCTGGGGCTTTGCCCGGTGCTCATGGGCACTGTTTGAGTCTATAAAGGCCTTTTTTTTTTTCTTTCCTTCAGAGCTGTTTTGTTTTACAAAGTTAGAATTCTAGTATCTCTGCAGGTTTGTGTCTTCGGTATCTGGGGCATGTTTACTTCATAGGAACATTTGCTGTCCCACCATAAATCCTCTGAAACTGTCCTGCTGTAACATCTCCAGGGAAGATGAGCTGACTGAGGTTTCCCTGAGTAGTTCAGAGGAAGTCCTGCCCTTCCAGGGAATCAAAAAACAAAACAAAACAAAAAAAAAATATTTTCGAGCAAGACTGAAACTGAACCATCTAAAAAGTGGCAGAAGGTGCCTGCAGTTCACTCCAGGCCCCGAAGAGCCAGCACGGGGACCCAGTCTCAGCCCAGACACAAACCCCAACCAGGCACTGGATCTCGTCCTCAGGCTCCATCTCGAACAAATGCTCCCAGATATTAGTGGGCTCCCGGATACCCACCTCTGACTACTGCAAAGCCACGTTTAAACCCACTGTGCCCTCACACTTAGACTCAAAGACCCAAAGCTAAAGAAAAACCCAGAACCCAGGAGGGTCTTTTTTTTTTTTTTTTTTTGCTTTTCGGGGGCTGGAGCAATAGCACAACGCGTAGGGCGTTTGCCTTGCACACGGCCGACCTAGTCGGCCCAGGTTCGATTCCTCCGCCCTCTTGGAGAGCCCGGCAAGCTACTGAGAGTATCTCACCTGCACGGCAAAGCCTGGCAAGCTACCCATGATGTATTCAATATGCCAAACATAGTAACAACAAGTTTCACAATGGAGACAATGGAGATGTTACTGGGCCTGCTAGAGCAAATCGACGAACAACGGGAGGACAGTGAGGACAGTGCTACAGTGCTTTTTGAGTCACACCCAGAGATGCTCAGGGAGCACTCCTGCCTCTGCACTCAGTAATGGCCAGGGATTAAACTAGGGTCAGCCACATGCAAGGCAAATGCCCTACCCACTGTACAATCACTCCAGCCCACAAGGGCCATTTTTGAGTAGACAACCCCAAGTCCTACATGACCAGGAACTGCATCCCCTCCCGGCTCGGATGCCACCTCTCCAGAATCCTACAGGGACACCTCGTGGGCCAGGCGTAGGTGACTCTCAGAAGCAGAAACGAAGGGGATAAGGAGAACCAAAAAAACCGCGGGCTCCTGAAAGGCAGCACAGGGGCTCCGGCACTCGTCTCCCAAGCAGCCGAGCTCACTTTAGGATCCCCTACCCCACCCAGGGTCCCCTTGAGCACTGCCAGGAGCAAGTCCCAAGCACCAAAAGAGGAGCAGGCCCTGAGCACTGCCGGGAGTGACCCAGTCCCCGGTCAAGAAAATAACTAAAAAAAAACACTTTGAGGACTGGAGAGCTAGGTCAGATGCTTGCCCTGCACGCGGTTCAATAACGGGCACCACTTGGGGGGGGGGGGGTGATCCCTGAGCACAGAGCCAGGAGCAAGCCCCAAGCACTGCTGGGTGTGGCCCCCAAACAAAAGAAAAATGTTTTGACATATGCACAGAGAACAGTGGCTCCGGTCCCAAAGCGCATGTCTCAAAGACACTTGCATAAGCCGCTCCCCAGGGGCCGCCAAGGCTCTGCTGTCCAGTGTGGCTGGCCTGTGTGGACATGAGTCGGCTGAGACTCCCATGGAGACTGCGCCCACGTGGGCATCAGACGGCCCAGGGGACACAGGCACAGCCAGCCGGCGACCGCTGTCTTCCTGGAGAGGGGCCTAGAGCGGGCATCTGCATGTGTAGGTGGGCTCTGGGGCGGCAGCCCTGCGTGCCTGCTCCCGATCCCGAGGGCCAGGCTGGGGACATTGGGCTCACCTGCCCATGACAGGTGTCCCCACCATCCCGCTGCGACTCCTGAGCACCAGAGAGCACTGGGCTGCCCAGTACAGATATTTAACCATGAGTATCACCAGAAACCTGGCGCCTCCCCGCAGGGGCCAGGAAGCAACAGTCAAGGATTCCAAAGCGCTTAGGAAGAAAGAGTGTGCCGGGCCCCCTCCCAGCCTCTGGAGGATGCTGACACCGACTCAGGGGTTGGGGGGTGGGGGACACAGAAGCTTCCCACAAACAGTGACGGGGGACTGGGAAACAGATTCTACGCCAGTGCCAGGCAGACAGCAAACAGCGGGCGGGAATTCTGTGTGAAATTCAGAATCTCAAGTTAAGCCTGCAAAGCCTCAAGATGCACCAAAGCAAAAAATGAACAGTCCATCCGGGTGGTCAGGGCTCAAGGCAGCCCCAATTCAAACGCAAGCAGGGACTAGCAGAGCCACCATAAAAATAAGGTTGGTGACACAAGCGCCAGCCACCAGGTTCACAGGGGACAAGGCTCATCCCTGACCCGTTATCCAGCCGCTCGCCATTTGTAATTCTCCACTGACTGGCCGATAACTCAAGGGACAGCTGAACCGTGCGATTTCCAACGGCCTGACCGGGGCTCTGGCGTTTAGAGCCGACGGGACGGATTTGCCATGCAAATGGCGCGTGATCGATCCCCGAGGCCGCGCTTACCTGTGGTGGAACAGCTGTACTGTGGGTACTGGGTGAAGGCGATGGCTCGCTCCAGCCCGTCCCGCTCCATCTCCTCAATGGCCTCCTCCGTGAGCGGGTGCACATACCGGAATCCAATATAGTATTTGTGCGGGGCTGTGAGGAAGCGTGTGTGGGAAGGAGGCAGGATTAATCTTTATATGGATTCCTGGGCCGGGGCCCAGAACAAAGAAAGGTTAAGCCTCAGCTCCTGCGCGGGGCACGGTCAGATACGCTGCGGATCCTATCCAGCACACAGCAGGTACATGGAATCACACACACATACCTACACCAACACCCACACCCACGTGCGCACACACACACAAGGACAGACAGACACACACACACAGTCCTTAGCACAATGGTGTTTGAAACCGAAGCTTTTGTGCCCTATTTTCTACTCTGGCTGATACTAGAGGAAAGGAAGCATATTTCTTTTCTCTTTTTTTTTTAAAAAGTTCTTGGGCCACACACAGTGGTGCTCAGAGAGCACTCTTAGTAAGGGATTGGGGACCACACGGGATATAGGGGATTGAAATGGGGTCAGCTGAGGGCAAGGCAAGAGCCCTCCCAGCTGAACTGTCTCTGCAGCCCCAAGAATTATGTTTTTGTCCTTGTTTTTTGTCTTTAGACCAGACCTGGTGATGCTCAGGGCTTACACCTGGTTGGGCACTCGGGAATTACTCCTGGCAGTGCTTGGGGGACCAGACAGAATGCCAGGGATCAAAAATGGGCGGGCTGCTTGCAAGGGGAATTCCCTCCCTGCTGTACACAGCTCTGGCCCAAGAAACAACAAATATTCTTAAAGGCTCACCTCTTCCACCCCGGCCACCACCCTGCCCCCCCCCAGGCACTTGCCTTTATCCTCCCATTTTAAGTGCCCCCTGTTTTTCCCAATTACGAGAACAAAGATTCTCCAAGGTTAATGAAAGTGCCCCCACTCCCACCGAGCAGAGGGTCAAGCGAAAATGACAGGCTGTGTCTCCCCACCCCAAGGCCACGCACCTCCCCTGCCCACGGCCTGCGGCGGCCACCCCTATTGCTCCTGCTGGGTCTCAGGGCAACTGAGTTTACAACCCAGTTTATAGAAAATCTTCTCCACTGGAGGCAAAAGGAGGAAAGAAGCAGCAACAACGCCGGATGGTTTCCAGCTGCAGAATTGGCATAGAGGATGGGTGGAAATTTTGCATAGGGGATGGGTTAGCGTGGAGAATGGGTTGAAAGTCCATCGGGACTCGCCCTGAGTGTGAATCACAGTGGTGATCCCAGGCGAGGTGACTCAGACCCTCCCCGTGAACTCTGAGGCACCGAGAGCTCTCTGAACGGAGATCGGGGCCCGGGAAGGAACCTGCTTTCCTGTCAGCTAAGCTGCCCCATGCCTGCTGCCCCGGCAGATAAGGACCAGGAGGGAGGGGGGGACACAGCTGGAAGTGAGAGGCCTGGGAGGGACAGATAAGGCGCCGCAGCTGCACATCACAGACCCCAGGACACGGGCTGGGGGGAGTCCCCCGTGCCGCTCTGCTACAGCCTCACGTGAGGCTGACCCAGAGGGGGCCCCAACACTCGCTCGCGGGGCCGAGCTGGCCTGGCCACCGTGAACACTGGGGAGAACCCAGAAAAGAAAGGGAGGGACAGAGAAGCGGGGTCCGGCACCAGTGGTCCCAAGGTGTGCACAGCCCTTTCAAGTCAGTGTCCAGCCTGTCCTTCCACAGAACGGGAAGAGCATCATTTCCCGGAGCTCCATGCTGTCCACAGGCCAGGATGATCTGATTCAGTCTCCAGTCTCCAGCCTGGTCAGTGAGGCTGGTCCAGCAGCTACCCCCTGCCCGCCCCCCCGAGGCGAGGGTTCAGGCATCAGCCCCCCGAGGTCAGGGGAGGGCAGCGGCATGAGTCAGACCCTGTGGTCACCGCCCGGGGCCTGCGGGGTAGACACTGTGGCATTCAGGGAATCCAGCCCCGGGAACAACCGTCCCAGGGCTCTGAGATCCGGGCTGCTCCCACACTATGCGGCTAGGTAGATAGAGCCCAAGGAACCAGGCCAGGGCACAGTCACTCGGAGCATTCACCCGTCCTGGTCTCAGATCTTCGCTTTGGGTTACTAGCAACGACTTCATCCCAGAAGCGCACGACCTACTTTATTTTTTTTTCTTTTCTCAGGCCACACCCCGAGGTGCTGAGGACGGGGCTCTGGAAAGGTCTCCGACAGGCAAAGCAAACCCGCAGCCCGCTAAGCTGTCTCTCCAGCCCAAATCTCCTATTTACATATGTACACTCTGGGGGCGGGAGGGCACCAGGGGCCGAACTCAGCCCCCTCAGCTCTACATGGAGCCACAATCCTGGCCCTCATCACTTCTGTCTAAAGACAACCTCTTGGAGGGGAGCGAGGGGGTCATGGCCAACGGCCCTCGCTCGGGGGCTATTCCTGACTATGCTTGGGGACCACGGGTGGTGGCCGGGATTTGAGCCGGGGTTCACCATGTGCAAGGCAAGCACCTTACCATCCCAAGCTATCTCTAAAGAGAATCTTTCTTAAATAGACATAACTGAAAATAAAATTCATCACTTTGTAGGGAAGAAAGCACAGGAAGGCAGAGGGCTAGAGAAAGAAATCTAAGAGAAACAAGAAAAAAAGGAAAAAAGTGGAAGGAAGGAAGGAAGGAAGGAAGGAAGGAAGGAAGGAAGGGAGGGAAAAAGGAAGGAACAAAGGAAGGGAAGGAGGGAGGGAGAGAGGGAGGGAGGGAAGGAAGGAAGGAAGGAAGGAAGGAAGGAAGGAAGGAAGGAAGGAAGGGAGGGAAAAGGGGAGGGAGGGAGGGCGGGAGGGAGGGAGGGAGAAAAGAAAGAAGGGAGGGAGGGAGGTACCTGTGGCGGGGGACAGCTCATCCAACAGCTTCACCATGCCCTCTCCCTGCGTGGACGTCCACCTCTTGATGGGAGAGCCACCACCAATCTTGCTGTACTGCTCCTGAATCTTGGGGGTTCGGCGTTTGGCAATGAGCGGGGCCAACTTACTAGACGGGAGGGAGGTAGAGAGCATTTGATTCCAGCTGTGTAGCCTAAGAGACGCAGCTGGGCCAGAGACTGGGGACCTGGGCCGGTCATGCTGGCCCCAGGTCCCGTAAGCGCCACCCCGCAATCACAGAGCCAGAAGTCATACCCAGTCCGGAACCGTCCCTCCATACACACACACCAAGAAAAAAAAAAGAAACAAAAGAAACAGTTTCAACTCAATAAAAAAAAAAAAAAGAAGATAAGACAGGGATGAGCACAGCAGAAGAGGCCGGACCCAGCCCCCAGCACCCAGCACCACTGGGAAATGAAAAAGTAAGAGGATAAGCAACATTTTAAGAAACTCTAGGGGCCAGAGCAATAGTACAGCGGGTAGGGTGTTTGCCTTGCACGCGGCCGACTGGTGTTCAACGCCCTGGCATCTCATATGGTCCCCCAAGCACCTCCAGGAGTAATTACTGCGTGTAGAGCCAGAAGTAACCCCTGAGCATCACTGGGTGAGACTCAAATAGAAAAAAATAAATCAATAAATTCTAACAAGATCTTTGGAAGAGGGCTTCTCCTCAACCACAGCCAGCTTCCCGGCCCTGCTGGAGAGAAAGGGAGGAGGGGGCTACCTCTGCCCAAAGCTCTGAAAGTTCAGACCCCGAGTCCTGTGCAGAGGCTGGCCACGCGCTGGCCTCTGTGTTCCCAGTAACCCCGCAGCTGGTGGGACCTAGCAGAGAGAGGAGGGCGGGGAGCACGCAACGCTCACAGCGCATGTGACAAGTGCATCAAAAAGAAGCAAGCACCAAGGAATCACCAAAGGAGGTGGGACACGTGTACACCGGACACCCTGGCCGGTGGAGGGGAGAGGAGACAAGGGGACATGGGAAGATGGCCCCGGCTCAGGGATCCGCGTCGCTGAGTCGGCCATCCTACCCAAAGCCGGATGCAGGCCAACGCAATCCCTATCGAAACTTGCAATGTCATTCTTCCAGGAAAAAGGACATCATTGAAATGAGTGGGGAGGGGCGAGAGGGAGAGCACAGCAGGTCAGGCGCTTGCCTCGCACACAGCTGACCCGGGCTCGGTCCCCGGCATCCCAAAGGGTCCCCCGAGCACTGCCAGGAGTAAGTCCAGAGCATTGGTGTGTGGTGCAAAAACAAAATAAATAAAATGGGTGTGGGACCAAACAAAGATCTGAAGGGCCAAAGCAATCCTGAGAAAAAAGGAGGGAGGCTTCATGGTTCCCAACTCTCAACTCCACTGCGAAGCTATAGTAAGCAAAACAGTGTGGTGTTGCAATAAAACAAATAGGCCATTGGAAGGGCCGGAGCAATAATACAATGGGTAGGGTGTTTGCCTTGCATGCGGTCGATCAGGGTTTGATCCCCGGCATCCCATATGGTCCCCCAAGCACTGCTAGGAGTAATTCCTGAGTACGAAGTCAGAGAAAGCCCTGAGCATTGCTGGGTATGAGCACTGCTGGGTATGACCCTTCCCCCCAAAAAAGAGAGGCCATTAGAATAGATCTGAGAATCTAAAATCAACCCTCATATATAAATAGACTATTCACTTATGACAAAGGAGCCAACAGCATAACATGGTGACAGTCTCTTCAAGAGAAAAAGCTGGAGAGACACCTGCGAACAATGAAACTGGGCCACCATCTCTCACCACACAGAAAAGCTAACTCAAATGCAAACTGAAGGAGCCAGAGCGATAGTCCAGTGGGCAACGCACTGGCCTTGCATGTGTCTGACCGGGGTTCCATGCCCAGTGTCCCATATGGTCCCCCAAGCACCCCCAGGAATAATTCCCGAGTGCAGAGACAGGAGTTAGCCCTGAGCATCATCAAGTGTGACCCCAAAACCAAACAAAAGAAAGATGGAATCTAATGTACAATCCAACAATTTCACCCCTAGGTATACAGCCAAAGGACACACACCACACCACACAAATCTGAAAAGACTCATGCAGGCTATGTTCAGTGTGGCACTGCTCACGAGATCCAAGATATGGAAACAACTCAAATGCCCGACCACAGATGAGCAGGAAAGAGATCTGCGGTCAGTACAGAGGGAACTGCTACTCGACTCTCAGAAAAAATGAAATACTGCCGTTTAGCAAACCTTGCCATTTCCAGAATGACGGGGGGGTGGGGGGGCCCTCTGGGGAAGCCTCACCAACCCTCTCTCCTTCCTGCCAAGGCTTCCCACTCCAGGCCCCTTGGAGCCAGCAGGAAGCACAGCACTGCTCGAACCCTGACCTCGGAGGCTGCAGAGCCGGTTCTCATCCATGGAATTCAGACGCGGGGAGAGCAAACGCATTGCCCAAGTGATGAACACGTACAGTTTAGCTGCGTCAGCCGTATTCGGGGGCCACACCTGGCTTGGGCTCGGGTTCACTCTCAGAAGTGACAGGGGACCAAGGGATGTCAGGCTCTGAGTCAGCCTCGCTGCCTCACGCCCCCCACACCCCCGCCGACACACGCACACACGCATGCACGCACGCACGCATGTACGCACCAAGCCCGTGCTCCCACTGGCCCGACATGGATCTTACCTTTGGAAAGGAAGCGTCATGAGGTCTCGGTCCAAGAAGAGCCTGAGGAGGAAGTCGTGCACGTCGGCAAGGGTTTCCGGCCCGCCCATGTTCAGCATCAATATTCCAGTCTTGGGCTTCCTGTGGGCAAGGAAAAGCAGTGACCCGTCTGCTCCACTCCCAGGGGGAATCGGAACTCAGCCAGCACTGAGGAGTGCCAGACCGGGGAACATATGGCGGAGCCAGCAGGAGGGAGGGAGCTGGGCACCCACTTCCCGCCGCTTCTGTCAGTGCCCAGGGCAACTGCGGACATGTTCCCACACACCTCCCGCTCTGGGCACGGAGGGCAAGGCGTGTGCGGTGAGCCTGGGTGATGCAGGTGTGTCTGTCTGCTCTCCGCAGGGCTGAGAGCACTGGCAGCCTGGAGCCCAGGTGAAGGGAGGACTGCAGGTAAATACTCAGGGCAGTGAGGTGAGAAGCCGAGCGTAGTGTTCCTCCTTTCAGTTGGTGTCTGAACCGGATTGGACAGTGTTGGCGGCTACACCTGGCTTGGGCCAGGGGGAGGGTGCAGGTGCTGCCGGGGAACCAATAAGCCCAAAGCTCCCACGAGCAAAGCCTGAACTGCAAGGGGTCTGAGAGAGAGTACTGCAGGTAGGGTGTCTGCCTGCATGTGGCTGACCCTGGTTCAATCCCCAGCACCCCACAGTGTACCCCCCCAAGCCCACCTGGAGTTATCCCTGAGCACTGAGCCAGGAGTAAACCCTGAGTACCATCACGTGTGGTCCAAAGACAAACAAACAAGCATGCACTCCTGCCCCTTGAGCTACTTCCCATGGCTGCCAAGTTGGATGCTCGATCAAAAACCAAAACAAGACCCAGCTGCTGGGCGGAGGGCAGTAGCACATCCCAGGAGGGGAGCATCCCCAAGACCTCGGCAGGAAAGGTAAGGAAGCTCCTCCCCTCCCTGTCTCCCACCAGGCTTGCCCCACCCCACACACCCCACCCCACGCCCGCAACCACCTTGGCACTGCTGAGCTGGGCTCACCCCTGCGGGGGCTGCTTGTCACTGCAGGGGGCTAGAAGTCCCTGTAACAGGCAGATTCCAGCGGCATCCAGGGCTTAGCAGGCTGGAGCACACACCCTGAGCACTGGGCTCAATCCCTGGCACTGCCCAGCGGCCCAAGTGCCTCTGGGAACAACCTGGTCCCCAAGTACCCACACCCAGGGTGGGCCCCCATCCCAGCACCAGGGGACATGGCCCCAAATACCATGGCCCCAACGTCTCCAGACATGACCAAATGCTGAGAATCACTGCAGGAGGAAGAATTAATTTTTCACGGGGCCGGAAGTGACCCTGAAGTTGCCCCACCACCCGGCTCGTCACTGCCTCTGCCCACACAAGGCTGATTGACCCTTAGCCAGCGCGGGCTCCTCCTCCTTTGAGCCCTGAGCAGGCCACATCCACGATTCCGTGCAGCTAGACTTTCATTCCCCCCATGTCCTCCTGGGATCCCCGTCCTTCACCCTTCAACTCTGTGACTCCAAATAAATTAAGGGCATTGTGCCGTGGACGGCTGCCAGGGGCCTGATTACCGGGGAAGGAAACCCCGAGGCCCCGAGACCCACCCGAGGCGGCACGGAGGGCCTGGGGTGTTAACGGGATTAGCCCTGCTTCTCATCTCTAACACCTGAGCTCAGGACAAGAAAGGATGGAAACGGGAAGTGAGCGGGACGCGGGCCCATGGGGCTGCCGTGACTCGGGAGAGACCCCGAGACGGGGGCCTCAGGGCGCTGTGCTGTGCATGAGGACAGACGCATTAGGCCTCTCGAAACCCCTCCGAGGGGGACTCCGGTCCGCGCCCCCGACACAGCACCTGAGAACCCGGCCATCAGCTTCCCTTTGTCTGAACTGGATGGTGTCGTGTGCAAACCGTACTGAGACCAACGCACTCCAAGGGGCTCCACGATGCAGCATCTTGACACTCTGGGACTATCCCGTTAGATTTTATTTTTTCCCTCCATGCCTCCCTGGTTCTACTCTCTGTAGTCAAAACCAAGATCAACAAATCCCTGTACCTCATTAGAACACATGAGAATGCTACAGCAGGAAGAAGACAAAGAACCCGAGAGAGATACCACAGGGGGTACCGGCCTCAAATGTGGCCCACCTGGTTCCACCCCTGGCACTGTATGGGGTCCCTCAGCATCAACAGGGGGCACTCCTGAGCCAAGTGCCAGGAGTAGCCCCTGAGCATTGCTGGGTGTGGTCCAAACTTGGCCCTCACCCCCTCATCCCCCCCGAAAGACAACCAAAAAAAAAAAAATCTCAGGAAAGAGGACTGCTTTCAATGAACTTCAGAGCCCGGCTAAGAGGCCCCTTCAGAAAACCTGGTGTTGCTCGGGCCCCTGCGAGAGACCGAAGGGCCCCGTGAAGGCGAGCGCGGTGCCATGCCTGTCCCCAGCCAGGACACACGCAGCTGCGGCCCCAAACAGGTGCTTTATCTCCCTCGTGAATTAGGACCATCCTCTGTCCTTCATCATTACGCTCACTGTTAACAGACAAAGAACAATGACCGAGTTCACGGCAGGAACCCTCGGTCCCTGAGTCAGTCTTTATCTTGTCCAGGACATACAGTTCATCGCCGTAATTGGGTTAGGCCCGTAACAACATTTCCAGCGTACGTAGGACTGGTATTTGTGACATGTTCCAGAACTGAATTCCGACGTGATTTGCAGACTGGGTTCAACTCTGTGACCTGGCGCAGCAGCCCGGAGGGGTTAGGTCGGTCCTGCGGGAGAGCTGGGGAAGGGGCCGGGGAGACGGCTCCAAGGGCGGGGCCCCACCTCTGCCTGGACGAGCTCGGGCTTGAACCCCAGCACCGCCAGTCTCCTGAGCCCTGCAAGGCGTGTCCCCCAGGCACCAGACTGGGAATAAACCCTGCACACCTCTAGGTTGGGCCCCACAGACCAAAACAAAACTAACAAAACAAAAAAGAAGCTAAGGGGAAGAAAGGTGACACTGAGCCAGGGAGGTGGCTTAAAGGGCACACGTTCTGCATGTGAGAAGCCCCAGCATCACCGGGAGTGACACCCCCGAGCACCAGGCTGGGAGGACCCCTTGAGCATTGCTGCCCCCAAACTAAATAAACTGAAGATAAAACATGTACAGGTGCGGCGGGGAGCAAAGTCTATAAAAGCTCAAGTGAAAAACCCAAATGATGTTTATGTCTGTAAGTGCATGTGTGCATGTGTTGTGTGTGCGTGTGTGGTGTGCGTGTGATGTGTGCTTGTGCACGTGTGTGGTATATGTTTGTGTATGTGTGCATGTGGTGTTTGTGTGCATGTGGTATGTGTGCATATAGTGTGTGTGTGCGCGTGTGCGCATGTGGGTGGTATGTGTTTGTGTGTGTATGTGTGTGCATGTGTTGTGTCTGTGCTGTGCGTGCATGTGTGGTGTGCATGTGTTGTGTTGCATGTGTTGTGTACATATTTGTGTGTGCGTGTGCATGCGGTGTGTGTGTTGGTATATGTGTGTGCATGTGGTGTATGTGGTGTGTGTGTGTGCGTGTGTGCACGTGTGTGGTCTGTGTTTGTGTACGTGTATGTGTGTGTGTATGTGTGGTGTTTGCGTGTGTGTGTGTGCATGGGCAGAACCTGTCACTCCCAGGCACGGGGCAGGGTGCAAAGGGCAGGAGCATGTGCCCAGCATGCAAGGGGCCCTGGCACCACAATGCAGCTCCTCTCCCCGAGGTCTCCCTGCACCTCCATGCCTACCTCTTCCCTGGGTGAGCTTGAGGCTGGGGGCTTCGGGCACACGGGTCTGCTCTGGTGGCGGGCGCAGCACCCGACTGGCATCTCTGCAGCTGCTGGGCCCAGGAGCCGCCCTGCACCACTGAAAGAAAACAGAGGAGGGAGCGTGAATGCAGCGTGAAATGCAGTGGGGGGTGAGGCCCTGGGAAGGGCCCCTCAGAGCCCAAGGCCAGGCTATGCAGCTGGAGGCTCCCCGCAGGGCTTCCTGTCGGCCCTCCTTGGCCCTTCTCGGCCCTTCTCGGGGTGGCTTCCCTCCTGCACAGAGCATGGTGCTGAACGTTCCCACCTGACCCGCCCCTGCCACGGAGGGCCCCGTGAAAGGACCTCCCAGTGCCCCTGTGCCACGGGCCACGAGTCTACACATGCCCAAGGATTCCCAGACCCCCCCCACCCGTTCATGCCCCCATTCCACATTGGTCTCTGGCATCCAGGCCCCCAGAAACCCCTGCCCCCAAGCCCTACACCCACATCCTCTGCACGGATCTCTGCCTGGCTCCATCCTCTCAGGGGAGGCTGGTACCTGACAGTCACTATTGGCAAAAGGGGGTTGGGGGTAGACTAGGCAGTCCGGGCCCTGAACATGGGCTGTGTGTAGGTGTGTGCACGTATAAATATGGGCTATGTGTGTGCCCATGAGTATGTAGTGTACACGGGCTGTGTGTGCACATACATGCATAGACTGTGTGTGTACATGTGCTATGTTTGCACACAGACCACGTGTACACGTTTTGAGTGTGCACGGGCTGTATATACAGGCTGTGTCTACACATGTGTACACAGGTTGGGTATACGTGAGCAACGTGTTTATACACACATAACAGGCTTGTCAGTCTACATGGGCTGTGTGTCCATGAACTGTGTGAGCATGTGTAGGCAAGGGCTGTGTGGACATGTGTTGTGAGTATACATGGGCTGTGTATTCAGGCTGTGTGTACACATGTGTGCATCAGTTAAGAAAACATGGGCTACATCTGCACACATGCACAACATAGGTTATGAATGTACATGGGCTACTGTGTATACATGTGTGACGTGGGTTGTGAATGCACATCACGGTTTTGTCTGTGTGTGTGTGTGTGTACATGGAGAGCAGAGTCACCCCAGGGTCCCCAGCAGTCCTGAAGCCCCTGCCAGAGAATACGTCTCCTCCTGGTTGGTGGGCTCGCCTGGGGGGGGGCTCCAACACCCACGGGGCAGCACGTCTAGAGAAACAGGCCCAGGGTGCCGTGTGGGACAGAGCTTTGCTCTCAAACCAGCAAGTGCCACTCGGCCTGATGGTCCCAGGGGCACCATCAGCCCCAGACCCGGGCCTGGTGAGGAGAGTGTGCCCGCGGGCGCATGCTGGCACCAGGTGCATTTGCGTCCAAGCGTAGGGCCTGCACGTGCCTTGGTTCTTCCTTCCCGTCTACGAAACCCAGGCATGTGCCCGGTTTGCTTCTCAGCGCCCCCGGCCATGTGCTTGCTCCCAGTAGCGCCCCTGATGCGAGTCTCCCCGGATACACCTCATCAGCTCCAAGCAGAGCGCAAGGACGGACATATGGAGGGTGAAGACGCTCATGTGAAGTCTCAGCCCGGAGCGCAGCACCTCAGGGTGACAAGCTCAGCTGGGGACTGTCGGTGAGAGGGGCCGGGCCTGGGTGGGAGAAACTATTTGGGTCCACACAGACCGGACAAGACCATGAGACCACCGTGTCCAAAGTGCTGGCATGAAGCCAGGTTTCCCCTGAAGACCTTCAGGAGAGGGGACGGGGGGGCGAGGGGACACATGGACCAGCGTCCCCTAAGAGGACACCAACATGTCCTAGGACGACCTGGGAAGCCACAAGCCCGCGGGTCAGCCACACCCGCCTCTCGGGATTCTCTGGCTCTCCTCCCCCTGAGCATCAGAAGGGGTGAGAGGAAGGATGAGACCCTGATGGAACATTCAGGCGCCCCTCGCTTGGTGCTCACCCAAGTGGGCAGTACCCTGGGAGGACAGCAGGGTGGAGGGGGGGGAAGTTCAGAGCAGTATTAAGCCACGTTTAGGGGCAAATCCTGTTTCCTGTTTGCTTAAAGAAGGTAGATTTCTGGGGGTGAGGGGCACTTTGGTTTTTGGGTTTTTTCCCCCAAAAAAAGGCATAGGCCAAATCCGTTTTGAAACCTCTGACCTAGCTGAAGGCGTTCGATCCATCGAAAGACCAACACACTCTTGTTTGCTCTGTTTTGGGCCATACCTGGTGGTGCTCAGGGTTAACTCCTGGCCCTGAAATCACCCCTGGCAGGCTCAGGAGACCTGGGTCGGCGGTGAGCGAGGAAAGAGCCCTGCCAGCTGTACTATCACTCCGACCCCAAGCCTCTTAAAAGCTCACAGTCAAAGAGAAATCCAGAGAGACGAATGGTTTTCATTCATTTTACCACCTGCAGAAAAAGTGAATGCAGGAAGGGTATTTCACCTTTTGGTAGAGAAATATTTCATGAACTATTAGAGCAGAAACTTGAAACATGACTTCTAACAGGAATATTTAAGATATTAAATATCTTCATATCTTAAATCTTAAATTAAGATATAAAACATTTTAATATCTTAAATTAAGATATAAAACATCTTAATATCTTAAAATTAATAAGATATTTAATATCATAAATATTAAGGCCAGCGAGAAGGTACAGCGGGTGAGGCGCTCGCCTTGCATGCAGCTGGTCCAGGTTTAATTTCCAGAACCCCATAGGGTCCCTCGAGACCTTAGGAGTGATCTCTTGCGCACAGAGCACAGCCAGGTGCGCCCCCAAAGCAACCAAACTGAAAAGATTACTGAGAGATCAGTAATTCCAACAGCACTGCTACACGCTGCAGGTGTAGCCTGTCGTCAGTGGTAATAATTGGCGATGGAAAACACTGGGATAGACAAGCCTGTTTTCTGAAGCCACAGAGACCTGAGCGAAAATGCCAGATAAAACCATCAAGCGGTCGAATGCTAGGGAGCTAGTCGAGGCTGGGTTTATCCTCTGTGAAACGGTGATAAGACCAGCCCCGCGGAGCTGCTGTCAAGATAAGGGGGGAGGGGGGGAATGAAGTATCTGGGGCCAGCGCCCAAACAGTGCCAGACAGACTACATGTCTTGTGGCAAGAAGCACTCGCCGCAGGAGGGAAGGCCCTGATAATCCTCACCGCCCACCCAGGAACCTTCCGACCGCGAGGCGAAGGAGAGAGACGGTGGAACGTGGCTTTTCCGAGATTTCTTTTCAGAACCCATTAGCAACCCGGATAGGGCAAACAGGATACGACAAAAGTACTCTCTCTTCAGAGGGGAGATGGAAACGCGATCGGGCTTCAAATCGACTTCTTCCAGGATCCCCGAATCCTGCTGCAGAATCAACTCCCGAGCAGGTCAACAACTGAGAGGTTCTGTGGTGCCATGACCTGACGCTGTCGCGGCAGGGGTGGGAGAGAGAGATGACAGTGGCACTTCTTTCTGCTCCAGGACTGGCACTTGTGTTCAAAGGCATGGCTGTCTCCGTGGGCCTCCCTGTACACAGGGCCTTGCCCCTGATACACATACACACACACACACACACACACACACACGGGGGCGTGGGGGTAGCTTGGAGATGCACAGTGGGTGCTCTCCATCCCTTAGTAGGTAGGTACCACAAAGATGAACAAGGGGACTTGGATCCCTGTCAAGATGACAGTAGGTTGGGGCTGGAGCGATAGCACAGCGGGTAGGGCTTTTGCCTTGCATGCAGCCAACATGGCCGACACAGGTTCGATTCCCAGCATCCTATATGGTCCCCCGAGCACCGCCAGGAGCAATTCCTGAGTGCATGAGCCAGGAGTAACCCCTGAGCATTGCCGGGTGTGACCCAAAAAGCGAAAAAAAAAAAAAAAGATGACAGTAGGTTAAGGCGCTTGCCATGCACATGGTCCCCACTCGGTTCAACTCCCAGAACTACACACTGTCCCCTGAGGACCGAATAGTCTTGAGCACCACTCTGTGTGTGGTGTGTGGCCCCAGAACCAAAATACACAAAATACACACACACACACACATACACACACACACACACTAACCCAAAAAAGTCAAGTCGTGTCTACCACCATTCAAATCCCTTATTAAGTTTGTTGTTCATTGTAGGCTGTACCCGGGAGTTCTGGGAACTGCTCCAAGCTCGGTGCCAGGCCCTGGGGGACCAGGTGGTGCCAGGGATTGAAACTGGATCCTCTGCATGGAAAGCATGTGCTCCAGCCTCATGCACCAGCTCGTCAGCCCTGGCGGCAACTGCACCTTGGAGCATCCATGTTGTCTACTACGTGCCTGGCACTCTGTGCTGAGCTTTCCCGGAGTCCTGCTCATCTACAGGGCAAGTTTGGGGTCCCAGTCTGGTGAGTCCCCTCACCTGACACTTGCAGGTTTGTCTCAAAAAGAAGCTGGGCCATTCATGAGTCATGTTGTTGGTTTGTTTTTTGTTTGGAGGCAACACCCAGCTGTGCTCAGGGCTGACTCCTGGCTCTGCACTCAGGGATCATTCCGGTGCCTGGCCTCAAACCCCATCTGCTGCATGCAAGGCAAACGCCCATGCCCTGTTCTTGGCCTTCCTCGGTCCTCCAAACACCTCTAGAGGCCCAGGCTGACCCACTGCGGATCCTGCTGCCAAGGTGCCAGGGAGCAGCGGGTGAGGCCCCAGGGCACTGTGGCCCCACCCCAGGGCAGATGCCCGCGGAGTTGGCGACCGATACCGGCGTTCCTCGGTGCCAGGCTCTCAACACGCCCTCCGTCTGGACAACCTCACACCCCTGGGCACTACTATCCCCACAGCACGGAGGAGCAAGTCCGGAGAAGTGCGGCGAAGCTCCCGCCGCCTCCCCCAGCCCAGCAATGCACTCTCGGGTTCCGCCCCCGGCGGGGAACCAGAGTAGACACCCAATGCAATCATCTGTCACCTCTCGGTCCACTTTGGTCTCGCCACGCAGAGGAGCGATGTGCCCTCAGGTCCCCTCCCAGTCACTTGGGTCCCACCGTCCAGCGGAGTCCTCTGGTCCCTCCCGGTGCACTCGGGTCCCAACGCCTAGGACAGCGATGCGCCCTCGGGTCCCTCCCGGCCCACTTGGGTCCCACCGCCCGGGGCAAAGATGCACGCCCTCGGGTCCCTCCCGGTGCATTCGGGTCCCGCCCCCCGGTGGGCACCCGTGGGTCCGCCCGACCCCTCCCGGCCCACTCGGGTCCAGTCCCCAGCGGCGCGCGCGCCCTCCGGCCCCTCCGGGTGCACCCCGGGCGCACGGAGCACCCTCAGGCCGCGCTGCCCGCCGCCCCGCCAGGCCCGGGCACCCCCACTCACGCCGGGCGCGGAGGACGGCCGCAGCACGAAGGGCCGTAGCCATGTTGGTGCCCGCGGAAAGTGTTCCCGGGACAGCGCGCGCTAGGCCGCTACGTTCCTGCCGCCGCGGGCCGACTGCCGCCCGGCCCAGCAGCCCCGCGCCGCGCCCCGTCCCACGCCCCAGCGGCGCGCGCGCTGATTGGCTGCGGGCCGTGCGGGGGAGGGTCCGGTGCCGGGAAAACACGCCCCTTGGCCTGGTTGGGCGGGGCCTGCGTCGGGAAGACACTCCCCTTGGCCTGGCGGGGCAGGGCTGGCGCCGGGAAGACACACCCCTTGGCCTGGCTGGGGCGGGGCCAGCTTCGGGAGGACACGCCCCTCGGCCTGGCTGGGGCGGGGCCAACGCCGGGAAGACACGCCCCTAGGAGCGATACTGGCCGCTGGGCAGGGCAGTTCGCCGGTTCAGCGCGTTATTCCAAGCCACTAGTTACAGCCGGCCCGACCAGTCAGTGAGCCTCCTGGGCGAGCTCCCTGTGCAAAATGTGTCGGTCCAGCCCATGCTAGAACCACTGCACAACTCTGGGAAGAACTTGAGGCCTTTCTTGACATTTAATTTGGGTTTTTGTTTGTTTTGAGGTTTTTTGTGGGTTTTTTTTTGGTGGGGGGCAAGGGGGTCACTCCTGGGGATGCTCAAGGCTAACTCCTTGCTCTTCACTCAGGGATCACTCCTGGGGGTGCCGAGCGACCCTACGGGGTGCTGGGCATCGAATCCTTGTCAGTTGCGAGTAAGGCAAGCTCTCTCCCCGCTGGGGCCCCAACATTTCCTTTTTTTTTTTCATGACCTGGAAGGGAAGTTGCTTTGCCTCTTTCTTGCTTGTTTGCTTAGTTAGGACTCAGCTGTTCCCACATCGCTTTGTTTTCAGAATTGAGAAAGGAATGATTCGAGAGAAGTCAGGGTTTTCTCTGCAGCAGAGCTTCGCAGGTGGGACCCGCAGGCAGGCTAGACTGAGCTAACAGGGCAGTAGTTTCCGGAAAGCAAAGGCCAAGCAACCTCGGGCCTCCAGTCTGGCTCATGAAGCAAACACCTCCTTTTTCTAGTCTTTTCCACCCGTGAGCCTCCTCGGAGCTCATCTGTTCCTTTGCATCCTTCACAATAGACAATGGTCTCCATCTCAAGGTCATTTATTCCTTAAACATTGAGCGCCTATTGTATGCAGAGGGGAAACAGCACTGAGGTGGACAGAGAAGAAAGTTGGCTTGCTTGGGAGCTGGGAGAGAGACAAAATAGTTGCAATATGCAGTAATCTGGGATGCCTGATGAGTGTTAGGAGCATGAAGTGAGGCGTGGCTTGGTGGTGGGATGCATGCTTTTGCGACCTGCCCTGGGTTTCATCGCTGGCACTAAAAACATAAAGAAATTGACTAGGGGATGTGGTTCCAATGGCAGAGCTGTAGACCCTGGGTCCACTCCCTGGGCTCAGACACCTGTCCCCACCCTACACACTCACCAGTTCTGCTGAGAGGAGCCAGTGACCCTGGGGCCCACTGGGAGTGACACTGCCCTTCCCCACCCCTGTACGCTGGGTGTGACCCCTACCACACAATAACAACAACTCCAAACTAAGGACTGAAGAGAGATGAGGAACAATCTAAGATAATTTTAAATCGATGGGTCATATCAACCCTCTCTGACACGTGGGCAAAAAGCTTGAGAGATGCGGAAAAACCCTGTGGAACATTTTGGAAAAAGAGTGAAATGTGAGTTAAAAACCACTAACTTTCTCTAACTTTCATGCTCCTAAATTAGCTTATGGGGGCTGCTCGGGGCTACTCCAGTGGAGCTCAGGAACCACACATACTTGGGAGCCAACCAGTCTGCACACAAAGGAAATGTCTTCACTTCCCTGCACTATTGCTCTGAGCCCCTGAATATTTTACACTAATGTTAGTCCTCATGATCATAAGCCCAATTTTAAAATGTCAGATTCGGTGAATTGCCTTTCCTACTTTCTTCGTGATCTTCATGTCTAAGCAGAGTAAAATTTGCCCCAAGTATCATCTGCTTTCTTTAATCTACTCTCAACAAAATTTTTAGTTTGAAATTCCCACTAGAAGAAGGGCTCTTCATAACCTACCACTCTTCTAAGGTCTAAACCTGTTTCTTAACTAGTAATAGTCTCCACATTTGGTAACAGTGTATGGAAACAATGAAGACAAGGCAGGGAGGACCCAGAGGCTGAGGATTTAGACTGTTCAGCCCTGGGCTCTTCTCTGCTCCTCCTGGGGGCCCAGGCTAAGGCACCATCCTATCCTGGGCCTCAAGGCTCTGGTGAGTGCAGATAACAGCCATCTCCTCCCCATGCCAGGTGATTAGTGACGAGGCACTAAGGAGCCGAATCTCACACCAGCAGCAGTTACAGTAGCTTCCATTTATTCCTGCCCAGAAGGGAGAAGAGAACCAGCAAAACATGCTTTATTTCATATATCAGCATAATGACACTTTTACAGAGAGGAGAGCCTGAGAGATAGTGCTTGCGCCCAGCACACAGCTGTTTCCTGCGTTTCATCTCAAGCATCACATATGATCCCCCTAAGCCTTGCCAGGAGTGATCCCTGAGCACAGAGCCAGGAGTAAACCTTGAGCACTTGGAGGTGTGACCCGAAAACCAAGAGAAAAAGAACTGACACTTTGTTCATTTTGTTCCCATCTTATTACTTTCACTTTTCTGGGGGAAATGGGGGAGGAGCACACAGGAAGTGCTCGGGGCTTACTCCTTACCCTGTGCTGGGGATCACTCCCGACAATAGCTGGAGGACCATTTGTCGTGTGTAGCAAATGTCTTCCTTGCTGTACTCCCTGATTTCACATCAGCATTTTCTCAGTCAGGGGCCATATGGCCCCACATGGGCCCCCAAGATATTGCAAAGGGGCCACAGGTGAAAGTTGCATAAATGGGGGTCCTCAACATGAGACAGGGAGCAGAAGGAAACATAATTGGAAGGGGGCCATGATTGAAAAAAGGCTGAGAAACACTGATCTACAAGATAAAATACCTTTCTTGAACCCAGTCTGAGTCAGTGTTGGGAATGAACAGGATTTGAGCTGGATAATGCACCTACTAAGATTAATAGGATATAAGTGAAAATGAGACTTATTATTCCCTACCAGAGAGTCCAGGGAGGCTTACTATTTCAAATCTATGACTTCTTGAAGACAGCAAACATAAAAGCTTTGTGACAAGCTCATTTTGATGTGCCTATGAAATGGATGCAGATCAAATATGCTTTATATGGGTCCTTTTCCGAACTGACAGAAAACAGTCTTCAACACAGAATTCATGAACTCTTAAGTACAGATTTATTAAGAAACCAGAGAAGTCCCTGAAAGGTTAAAGAAATGTGTGGGTTATGAGAATATGTAGAAATACCCTTAGATATGTACGTGCACCTGTATCTAGGGACAAGTGCATCTCTTTACTGGCCTGTGGGTATGACAGAAATCCCTTTAGCACACACAAGGTCACACGCAGCCCTGGGCAGCTCAGCTGAGTGGTCCCTGACTCTGGCACAGGCCACTCTGAGCCTGGTGGCTTTGTCAGTGCGAAAACCAAGTCTAGCTTGTGGTCCTAAAGAAAATGAATTTGTTGGTTTCAGCTCAGTGCTTCGGAGGAGAGGGTGGGAGAAGGGGGGAGACCCGCTCATTCATTATTTGCCATGATTGGCACCTCTGAGCTACACAAACTAAACTCTGATTACTCAATTCTGTCTCCTTAATCAGTAAAACAACGGGGCAGGTGGGGGAGGGGTGCTCAGTGCCAGAGACCACGGCTGCTGGAGGCTGATGGCCAGGCACAGTGGAAGGAGCGTGCAGAGACTGATTGTCCCCCCCACTGTTGAACAGCGAAAAGGGCCCGCCCAGGCTGCCAGGACACACGACTGCCTCCACCTCGGCTAGCCCAGCAGTGGTGGTGCTTCAGCACGGACAGCCTGTGCTGCTACTAGGCCTTGCAAATCGGGCTGAGTTCAAGCTCTGGCATGCCTGTAGGCTCCCAGCGAGGTCCCGGCCACTCTGCCATTTGGGATCCCCAGTGCCAGAGAATGTGGGCATAACCACTGCATCCGAGCTAGGAGCACGGGAGCACGTTATGGTCATGTTGGGATCCCTGGTGCCAGATGCAGCGTGGGCACACTGCTGCATCCAAGCCAGGCGCGTGCAAGCACCTTATGGCCAGGTGTGATTGTGGCCAGGTTTATGGACCCCAGTGTGCTCCCGTCATGATGACGGCAGCAAAAGGCTGGAAGGGGAGTCTGCGAAGCAAAATAGAGTTGGTGACAACTGATCTCAGACGCCAGCAGCTGGGATATCCCAGGAAGACTCGGCCACCACCAAGTCTCAGAAGGCTGGGAACAACGAAGTCCCCACCCTGCCAAAGGCCCACTGCTCCGGCTACCCACATCAGGCTTCCACGGCTGCCAGAGAAACGGCCCAGCTTCAGGACTGATCAGCAGCCACCTGTCCCTGCTCCAAAGCTACCGAAGCATGTGGCTGCGTGTGTGGCCCTGCAACACCTGCAAACGTCACAGAGCTCACAGCCCGGAGGAAGCACAGAAAATTAGATGGGGAAACTGTATTAACGCCCACTAAACTCAAGAAGTGAAAACAGCAATGCAGAAGGCCCAATTCGCACCTCGGTAAATCCTCAGGCCATGACTTCAGTTACACTGTTACATGCATTATAACAAGCAATATGAAATTCTTTATTGCCTGCTTGAGGGGTGGGACACTGGGGGCAATGGTGGAGGAAAGGGCACAATGGTGGTGGGACTCATGTTGGAATACTGAATACCCGAAACTGCTGTATTGTGTACAACTTTGTAAATCAGTGTTTAAAATTTGATATATATAAAAAAATAAATAAAGTGTTGGAGAGGATTAAAGGGTTGAAGGCATGCTGCTGTTTGCTGGAGGTCTCGGTTCAAGCCTTGCACTGCATGGTTGGTTCCCTGAGCACTGAGCATTGCTGGGTGTGGGGCCCTCCAAAACAATTAAGTGAAAAGGAGAATGAATCCTCCTCAATCTGGCCATTCTTAGAGCCACCCAGATCGGTGGGTGTGGGGGGGGTTCATGGTACCGGGTGCCGTGGCAGTGCAGACGCAAGAGGCTGGGATGAGATGGGCAGGAACCTTCTCCAACAGTCCGATTCTATCACCGGAAGCGTCGCTCCTTAGGAGAGAACATTGCCATCCTATCACTCCTTTTCCAGTACTCTTGAACGTCACAGCTACTGAATTTAGTGACGTCTAAATTCAAATAAACAGCTCGTGAAAATTAAGAAGATTCTTAAAAATGCAAAAGGCTTGAGAGACAGAGATGTAGAGCTTGAAAATAAATTAAGCAGCAAGGAGTTTTCCGCCTGTGCGTTTATTGATTGCTGGGAATACAGCCTACTGAGAATACACGGCATGCATTTTGGGGAGAAATTAACCAAATCTAAACGAAGTCATTCAATGAGCCTGCTGAGAGTTAATCAGGGAGCACAGATGAAGTCTGAGGACAGGGAAGGGATGACTCAAATGTCGCAGCCATCATTATGTCAGCTGCCACTTGTCTTAGAACTTATTTATTCTTAATTATTTAGGAGCTAGAAGGATCAGCCCGCCGCGTTCGTTGAACGGATGCTAGGAAATACGCCGCTGACCACAGCACCCCACAACTTCCCCTGCTCAAAATGGAATTGCTCTTACTTCAAATAAGGCAATTTCATTTTTATAGATCCTTCCAGGCCAATTCGGACACCTGAGAATTAAAAGCAGCTAGACAGATTTTTAAAAGATTAATCTAACACAAAGGACTAGTCACTAGATCCCGCTATCTACTGTTAAATTACAATGTTCAAACATTAGCAGATTTTTACACCACAGTGCCAATTTCCCGCTAAGATGTCTAACTCATCAATACAATCCAATGATATAAAGAATTCCAGTTGCACACCAAAGGACAGATAACATTATAGAATGTCTTAGATCGTAATGAAAACTGTTTAATCAAATATGGTACACAGGACACCGAGTTGATAACCTATCATTGGATAAAATGCTCAAATGTATTCGTGAATGTGTTCCCCAAATCGTGTTAATGAATCTTGTTTCGCAAACAGAAAACATCAATGCCCTTGGTCAGTCAGGTCACCGGGACGGCTTCTGTGGTGCAGAACCAGCAGGCAGAAATGGACATGCCCCAGAGGTGGGAGGGGGGGGGCAAACACCAGGGTCTTTTCTGTGTCACAGAGGTGAACTGCTCCCTTCTTGCACATATTCCCAAACGCTCCGGAGCGGGGGGGGGGACAACGGTCAGGGCTTGCAGCGCTGGACAAATCGAGGGTATAAGCACACATCTCGGATGTGATACCTATTCAGAATCCAGGTCAAGAATCGCTCTAAGCCCAAGCCATATCCTCCGTGGGGACACGTGCCGTATTTTCTCTGTTAGAGAGCAAGAGGAACAAACACTCAGTTTCAAAATCCATCAACTGGAGTCAAGACTTTGCACTAGGAAGAGAGTTTACCTTACTGTCACTCAGACAGACATCAACCTTTATACAGACCTACATGGCTCATGTATGAAGAAATAGCTACATGTGAAAAGTCAGGGGTTCAGGGTCGCCCTGGGAAAAAAGACTTCTCACCTGTAAACTAAGTTGGGGGGGCAGAGCAGTAGTACAGTGAGCAGGGTGTTCACCTTGCAAGTTTCCGACCTGGGTTCAATCCCTAGCATCTCATATGGTCACCAATATCCCCAGGAGTTAATTCTTGAGTGCAGAACCAGGAGTAACCCCTGAGTATTGCCAGGTGTGGCCCATTTCCCCCCAGTCAAAAAGGAAAAAGGAAAAAAAAAAAACACACCAGCAAAAAAACAAACCTAAGTCAGTGTCTATTTCAGAGGAAAATCAAAGATAGTACTAGACAGGATAGGCGTTAGAATCTGCCAGTTGATTTTTATTTATTTATTTTTTGCTTTTTGGGTCACACCCAGTGATGCACAGGGGTTACTCCTGGCTCTGCACTCAGAAATTACTCCTGGCGGTGCTCAGGGGACCATATGGGACGCTGGGAATCGAACCCCGGTCGGCCGCGTGCAAGGCAAATGCCCTACCCGCTGTGCTATCGCTCCAGTCAGCTGATTTTTAAAGACACAGTAGCGGGCTAGAGAGAAAGTACAGGAGTCAAGGCACTTGTCTTGCACGCAAGCGGCCCTGGTTTGATCCCGGCACCACATACGATTCCCTGAGCATCACCAGAAGTGATACCCGGGCAAAGTGAAAAGCAGGAGTAGTCTTGAGCATGGCCGGGCTCAAGGGAGAAGAGGGCCAGTGGAGCGAGCCGGCTTGTGTTTTCAAAGTGGCCTTACCTGATCGGTATACCAGTAATAGGGCGTGGGGTCGATTCCTTCCCGTTTATAACCTGCCAGAATTTCTTCGCTACCCCAGATACGCATCGAGCCTCCCACGATCTCGCCGACATTGGGCATCAACACGTCCACCTTTGGAGACAGCACGAAGCAGACGCGGTCAGCCAGGCGGTCAGAGCACCCCGGGGTCCCAGGGAAAGGCCAGACTGTGCTCTTTCCACCCGTGGAGACTATGGATGCGTGTCACTGGGCGGCGCGGGCCATGCCCCGTGAGGGAAGAACGAACCCGCTGCTGGACAATGAGATACTGGCCACAAGCTGTTACCTTCCCAGCAACAGTCCCCACCCCCTGAAGAAGCAAAATTAAGGGCTGGGGAGATGGCTCAGAGGGTTGGAGCATAAGCAGTGCATGTGGGGCTTCTGGGTTCCATCCCCAGCCTCGCAGGTTCCCCAGAGCACTCCGCTGAGTGAGTGGCCCACCCACCTCCCCCCCACATGCCCCCCAAAATGCAAAACCACAACTCCGGAGTCCCCCACTCACAGACTCCGTCAGGCGGGCGTCCTCAGGGCATCGCTGCATGTAGAAGGACTTGATCTCCACGGGGAAGCGGCACAGCAGGATGGGCTCATTAATGGTGTCTGTCATCAGTCTCTCGGGCGCTTCCGGGATATCCTGAGGGGAGAGGAGAGCTTCACTACATCTCCAGCTGCAAAGACAGCTGGGTGGGAGCAGCACCTCAACCCTGGGCGGGAGGGGGGGGGGGGCGGGGGTTCCCCCCAGACACGTTCCCTTCAAAACCAAACACTTCAAACCAGACGCACTGAGGACACAAACTGAAGGATCTCATTAGAAAGATCTGCTTCCTTCCACGGCAGACCTTTGGCGATAAACACAAACACAAATTGAGCTCACGCTGCCTGAGGAATGAAATCCAAACCACAACACCAGGCACGACAAAACCTAGTGACTGCCACTATCACTCCATAGCGTCCGCTGTTTTTAAGTGGCCAGTGATCCTCCACTCCGAAGCAGAGCGTGTCCCCCTGGCCCCATCAGGCACGGATAACCAAGCAGCCCTCATCTGCCCATGTAGGTTATCAGGAACATGAATCTTTTAGCTCGGCGGGCTTCTGCCCGGTTAGAATCCATCAGGACACTGTCCATGGTGGGGGGCCTGGGAAGGGGGTCCAGTTCTACAGCAAATAACCAACGTCTAATTCCAAAGTGCAGCTGCACACGGACTAGTTAGCTGACAGCGTTAGACGGTGGCGAAGGATCAAATCCATCTGTTTCTCTCGCCAAAAGCCCTGTGCTAAACCACACATAAATGCAGGCTGCAACGGAGTACTCTTGTCCTTGCAAAGATGGAGGAAACTGGACAAGAATCACCAATCGGCGCCTTGTAACAATCACCGGGAGCCGAGCCCTGTGTCCCCGAGGCCCTGGTTTTCACCCCTGATGTGCTGGGACACGGAGGGGAAGGGCAGAGAGTGGGTGGCCTTGAAAACATTTCATACAGGACAAGGTTTCGCCCGCAGTGTGGACCCAATCTCACACAGTCAGCATGGCACCTGCCAGGGATGGCCTAGTGCAGGGAAGATGCTGACCAGCACGCAAGGACGGCACCAGGACCCTGCAAAGGGGCTGGGATCTCAAGGTGGCGACCAGGAGCCAGAGAGAGGACCCCAGGCCTTCAGGGACTAACAGTGGGGACAGGAGCAGGCGCCCAACATGCTTGTGACCTCTCCACGCGGTCACCTGACCAGAGAGCTGGGGAGCCACAGTGCCAACTCTATTCCATGTCGCCGAGGGCAGCTGCAGGCCTGGCAAGATCACTCCTACAGGGCCAGCACTAACGTATCCTCGCTAGACTCCTTCAAAAAAACAAGAGTGGGGCCGGGGAGCTGGCCTGAGGGCCAGAGAGCTCTGCAGTAACAGGGGCAACTGACAGTGTCACAACTGACGCCCTCACACTGGGCGGGAGGGCCTGCCAGCCCCAGTCCCAGCCCCAGCCCCCATCAGGGCCTTTCTTCCATTTGCATTTAGTTTAATTCCAACACAATTAACACACATTCTGGGGGGTGGGGCCCCCCCCGACAGCACCCGACGCTTTCTCCAGAAAGACGAACCCAAGAACAGCCAAGGCGCTGTGTGAGATTCCCGGGTGCACACCAGTGGTGGCCACCTCGGGGCCCCGGGTAACCGCTTCAAGCGTGACAGCCACGTGCAAGGAAGGGAACCCACCTCGCCGAACTCATAGAATGTCCCGTCCTCTTTCTTAATGTTGTGCTCTTTCAGCCACACGATGGCATCTGAATAGTTCATCCGCTTGAAAGGCCGTTTGGGGGGCTTGAAGTTCTAACGGTAGGAAAGAAAGATGAGGATAAATGTCACCGTTAACATTCAGGGTGCCTTTCGAAGACAAACATCACTGTAAGAACAACAACAACAAAAAACTTCTGGTTGGCCTAGAAAAACAAAGTAGCCACTCAATGCTAAAACAGAAAGGGAAGTTCAGGAAGAAGAAAGGGCCCACGTAAATAACTTGACTTCACAGCCTGAGATCTTAGAAAATGACCAACAAAGGAGCCCAAACCAGGCGGGAAGAAAGAAATAATAAAACTGAGAGCAGAAATCAACAAGCTGAATTGCCCCAAAATAAAGATAAATAAAAAGGAAAACACATGAACCGCATCTCGTGTAGGTTAAAATACTGCGCAGTCAGAGGCTGGAGAGAGTCTTCAATCATCTGAGCACGAGCATAAGCCCCGAGCTGGTCCCTGCCCCTGTACAGGGTTCCCGTGAGTTTCTGCCAGGAGCGACCACAACATAGGGCTGGCAGGAGCCCCTCCTGAGCACTGCTGAGTGTGGCCGCATACTACAAAATGAACGTCAGTGGCTAAGGCTAGACGTCAGCCTCCACAACCCACGTTCCTTGTTTCAGGGTTCAGGAAAACCCGGGAGGTGGTTCCGGCCGGTCAGGGTGGCCGTCTATGGGAGGGCCCACGACTCTGGCACCTGCACCTACCGGGTTGAGGTCGTAGACAATGCTGGCCGCGGGCGACTTCAGCACTCGGTCCACCACGTCACACACCAAGTCCTCCAGCCGGCTCAGGAGGTCCTCGAAGGTGAGGAAGGGGCACTCGGCCTCCACGTGCGTGTACCTGAACAGACGCCCGCTCAGCCCAACACTCCCCGCACTGCAACCCCTGGGCACACCCTCCCACAGGGGCCCGTTTCTGCCGGGACACAGATCAAGATTGGGCCTGGGAATGCACAGAACTCTCGGCTAAAGCCCAAGAGGCAAAACGCCCGCTGTTTGCTAACGCCCACCCTTCCCGGGGCCCAAGACCGCGATCCTGCCTCCCGGGGACGCGGGGGCCCGCTGTGGACACGGCCTCCCGGGCCCAGGGGTGGCGCGTACTCAGCCAGGTGCCTCCGCGTGCGGGACTGCTCGGCGCGGTAGGACTGTGCGATGCAGAACACATCCCCCAGTGCGGGCAGGCAGGTCTCCAGGTAGAGCTGCGAGGACTGGGTCAGGAACGCCTCCTCCCCGAAGTAGTCCAGCTTGAAGAGCGTCGCGCCCCCCTCCACCTGCGTCTGCACCAGCGTGGGCGGCGTGACCTGCGCAGAGCCAGGGGACAAGGGCGCTGCCGTGAGCACCGCTGTCCCGTCGGATAAACGGCCACGGGCTGGGAAGGCGGCCTCAGACACCCAGGAGGAAACTAACTAGCAAGGGTGGGACGCACACGCACCTCACAGTAGCCCCTGTCGAAGAAGTGGTCGCGGAAGCAGCGCGTGACCACGGAGCGTGCCCGGAGGATCTTGGACATGTTCTCCCCCCGGATCATCATGTGCCTGTTGTTGAGCTGGACGTCCACGTCAGACTCCTCGTTGATCAAGTTATCGGCGCCACCGGCGGGGGCCAGGCCCAGCAGTTCCCAGAAGTCACAGCTCAGCTCGTGACCCCCCGGAGCCTGCGTGAGTCAAAAGGCAAAGGGAAGAAGGGGGAAGACGGAAACACACCCCCATTATTGTTCTGTTCGGGACCCCAAGGTGCTCGTGGGTTTCACCCTATGCTCTGGGATCACTCTGGGCTCGGTGCTCAGGGGGCCCGATAAAGCGCCAGGGAACAAACAGATCGGTGGCACTCAAGGCAGGTAGGTGCTGTCCTTCCTATGCTATCCCTCCAGTCCAAATCAACGTTACTGTAGACTTTCATTCAATCCATGTTTCTGATAACCCAAGATAGCATGGAGTCTCTCCATTATTTCTTGACACTTCTCAAAACAAAGACCCCAAATTCAAATTTTAAGTTTTCACATATTTTCAGGACACACACACACACACACACACACACACTTAAAAAACACAGAAGCATAGGGACCAGAGATAGAATGGCAGGTAAACTGCTCACCTTGCATGTGGCCAAGCCAAATTCGATCCCTGGCATCCTGTATGGTCCCCTGAGCACTACCAGGAGTGACCCCAGAGCACACCGCCAAAACAAGGAGTAAGCCCTGCCAGGAGTAAGCCCTGAGCACTGCCTGGTGCTTCCAAACCAAACGAAACTTAATTTCCCACCAGGTTCTACGAGGAGTTGTTTCTCTTTGGAAACTGCATTCAGGTTGGACACCACACCCACAGCCCAGACGGCTGCCCTGGGGCCATCAGCACAGCATCAAGGACCAGAAATCCCACCTGCAAGCCCGTTTCCAGCAGGGGAAAGTGAGGCCAGCCTGAATCAGAAGGGTCTTTTTACATGAATTTGGAATGACTCATCAATATTTCTTGTCTATCAGGGGACCTCTGGGGGATAGTATCTTATGCATGTGTGTTCTTTGAGGGGGAGAAGGGACCATTCCCAGCCGGGTTCCCAAGATAAAGTCCCAGGGGGTCCTCCCATGGAAAGCAAGTGTTCCAGCCCCACGGGTTATCTCCCCACCCACATTTATTCTCTTTCTCAGCCAATGAATATGTTGTTCAAAAACTCATGGTAGTTTCTTGAACAGTAATTGCCAAAATATAGTGTACCTAATCGAGGAAGAACAACTCTAAAAATCAATTATGCGAGGGGGGCTGGAGCGACAGCATAACAGGTAGGGCGTTTGCCTTTCATGAGGCCAACCTGGGTTTGATTTCCAGCATCCCATATGGTCCCCCAAACACTGCCAGGACTAAGTCCTGAGTGCAGAGCCAGGAGTAACCCCTGAGCATCACCGGGAATGACCCAAAAAGAAAAAAAAATCAATTACGTGAAACTATTGGGGAGTGGGGAGGTTTTCCAATACCATTCAGAAAGTTTCAGCTTTAAATCACTGTTCTTCAAGAGAATGCCCTGCCACAGAGGCAGGGTGGGATGGGGGGCTGGGGGAGTGGAAGGATACTGGGATCAGTGGTGGTAGAGAATGGGCACTGGTGGAAGGATGGGTACTCGTACTCGATCATTGTATAACTGAAACCCAAGCACAAAAATCTGTAAGTCTACAACTGTACCTCATGATGTTTCGCTAATAAAAATTAAAAAAAAAAATCACTGTTCTTGTCTAAAGTTGGGGGGACTGTGGGTCCCATCTATGCTCAGGAGCCTCACCTGGCAGTGCTCAGGGGTAACATATAGATCTGTGAGTCTAAGTTTTTTTTTTCTGCATAGGATGTTGTTTTTTTTCCCAAATAGATAAATTCACACAACATTTGTATCCACACCACTGGTTATATTATAGTCTAGGATGACTACCTGGGAATTTTCTAGAAGGCTGGCAATCCCTGAGTCCGCTACATAATATTTCACCAGAAAAAGAAAAGGCACTGGGGGCACAGCAGGTAAGGTGATTGCCTTGCATGCAGTAGACTCAGGTTCGACTGCCAGTATCCCATGTGGTTCCCTGAGCACCGCCAGGAGTGATCTAAGTGCAGAGCCAGGAGTAACCTGAGCGTGTCAGGGTATGCCCCTACCTCCATCCCCACCAAAAAAAGAAAAACCACACTAAACTGAACAAGTTCAGCGTACGCAGAACAAATATACCACAAGTGCCAATAAAGAGAGTGGAACCCCAATATCTATTACCCGTGAGGATCTCCAGCCACTCACCTGCTTGCCCTTGGGGGTGAGATTCAGCGTTCCATATACTGCCACGCTGCTCTCCGTGGCCAGGACCACCCCATTGTAACATTGACACTGCAAAAAAGAAAAAGAAAAAATCAAAACACAAAAACTCTACAGTTACATCAAGCTGCTCTAGCATGTAAGAGGCTACAGAATTAGTTACAAACAAGCAACCCGGTCTGACAGTCCAAGGAGGAGAGAGCCATCCTTTTTTTTTTGTTTGTTTAGGGGTCATTTCCAGAAGTACTCAGGGGCCTATGGGTGCTGGGGACAGAAGCTGGGCCTCCAGGAGGCAAAGCACACGTCAGCCCTCCGAGCTAGCTGCCAGGATCCCGGCTACCCATTTTCATTAATAAAAAGCTAGTTTTAAAAAAACATTTCTCTTGGGAGCTAGAGCAACAGCACAGCAGATAGGGCGTTTGCCTTGCCCATGGCTGACCCGGGTTCGATTCCCAGCATCCCATATTGTCCCCTAAGCATCGCCAGGAGTAATTCCTGAGTGCAGAGCCAGGAGTGACCCCTGTGCATCGCTAGGTGTGACCCAAAAAGAAAAAAAGAAAAAAGAAAAAAGAATTATTTCTCTTTCTAGAAGCATACACAAGTATGTAAGTAATGCTTTACAGACATACATACACATATGCCATAAGGCTGCGTTACTTAAAAATACCTGGGCAGGCCTGAGGTGCCGTTAGAATCACCTGAGCTGAATGGTGTGGCCCTTGCCTTTCACACACGAAGCCCTGGTTGTGATCCTGGCACCAACACCAACACAGAGAAGGGCTGGAGAGACAGCTGACAGGCCGCAGGTGTGCCCTGCATTCCAGAGGCGGAGGTCTGACCCCGGCACCTGCCCCGTTCACTGCAGGCCACTGCAGTGCCTGTCAGAGCAGCCCATGCTGGCTGAGCCCGCCACAAGCCGGTGACCTGCACAGGAGGGCGCTTGGTTCTGGCGGTCACCACCCTCTGTCTGTGATGCAGCGGGTCTGCAGAAACTTCTGGCCAGTCCGCAAGTAGGTTAAAGACCCCTAACACGCCGTGAGCCTGCGTACAAGCTCCCATGTGGGGGCCGGGAGACAGTGCAGGGGTTAAGGCACTTGCCTCACACGCTGCCCACCCAGATTTGGCGCCTGGCACCTAACTGATCCCCCAGCACCACCAGGAGCGATTCCCAGAGCACGGCACCAGGAGTAAGTCCTGAGCACTGCCAGTTTCGGCCCACAAAAGAAAAAAAAATTTTACTTTGCAATGTTACATTAAAAACTTACTTTACAAATAAATTTTTTGGTAAATACTATTATAGATATTTCTGCCTGAGTGTGGTTTGCAAAACATTTATCCTATTTTTATGGATCCATGGGTGGGGAAAAAAAGGTTGAAAACCACTGCTTTTAAGTTGCCTTCAATTTTCTATGTTGAAGCTTTTGTATTTGCCATTTAAAGTACGCACATAAGTCTTAGAACTTCCAAACTTACAAAAAACTTACTGAAGAAACTCAAAAGTTCAGTCAAAAGTAAAATATTTACCAAATCATCAGACAAGACACACTGAAGATAACCTGTACCATCCCGCAGCACCAGAAACATCAAATTCTTTCCTGAAATGAGAAAGAGGTATTTGTCCAAACCGTTCTCAAAATATTTAAAAGTGCTTTTCCTAACTTAACCTAGAAAGAAAGCTTTCAACATTTTAAATATTGAAAGGTTAGCCCTCCCCTTCCGCCTCCCCCTCAGCCCTCTACCTTAAAATATCCAACGGCAGGGGCCAGAGTGATAGCACAGCAGGTAGGGCATTTGCCTCGCACTCGGCCGACCTGGGTTCGATCCCCAGCACCCCATAATGGTTCCCTGAGCACTGTCAGGAGTGATTCCTGACAGCAGAGCCAGGAGTAATGGGCCAGGTGTGCCCCCAAAACAAAACACAAAAAAGACCTGCCTCCCGGAAACATTACTGCATAGAAGCTGCAGCATTTCACTTTCTAGAATTTTCAAATCTAAAACGATCACCCTGACCCACATAATCGTGGGAAAGCAAAGCAGCGCCTGGGGCGGAGGGCTCACGTCTCGCACAGCACAGGGTGCATGGGGGTGTCTGTGTGTCTCTTCCAGCTCCAGAACCTTCTGTCTGGGCCAGGGACATCAATCAGGAGCAGGCATACACTCACTCTACATGTGGCCAGACCTGGGCTCGCTCCAGCCCCACAATCCCTGGCATCACTGCGAATGGCCCCGGAGCACTGCCAGGTGGGGCCCCCAAACAGAGTCCACCTTCCTATATCATGATCCGGCAGCTTAGTTCTGTGCTCTGGAAATGTGGTTCGTGGGGGTTTGATCCCTGACACACCACGAGCGATCAATGAAGGCTGGCTGGGGCACATCTGCCTCAGGAGCCCCCAGGGAGAAGCCAGCGCCCTGACGAGAGTGGCCCCAAGCCTCTGCTCGCAGAAGGGGGAACTATTACCACTGATGTCTACGGGGAGTTTGGGGGGGTGTTCCCAGGTCATAACCCAACAGGAATGCTCTCCGTGCAGCGGGGAGGCAGGGAGGGCCCCTGCACTTGGCAGGAGTGACAGGAACCCCCTCTGCTCATCAGTGCCCTACCACATTTTTCTAAGGACTCGAAAATTTCTTACAATAACACATACACGAGATAACACAAGGAGAAAATGAAACCTAAAACCTCAGGACCGAGGGAGGATCAGATGCCAATAGATGCCAATATGCTAATTAGGCAAGTCAACGTTGCTTCCACAAAGAATTAAGAGTAATTAGGTAAGAAATTTAGGATTTGAGTTACCTTGCCTGCGCAGCCTGTGCACCCAGCCGAACACCTTGACTCTTTGGCCTCTGTAGCCTTCCAGAGAATGGATCTTCACCTGCACATTAGAATAAACGATGTCGGACTGACGGAGCCCTTCACCGCAGACCAACTTCCCCACTGGATGGCCACACAACATAAAAGGCTAAAATTCACCGCAGTGAAAAGATACCATCGCTCTTGCACCTGTGGGCTAGAACCAAAAAACCTCGACCCAAAGGACTGATTCCCGAAATACCCAGTTTTCCTATGAAGAACACCTCTAGGATTTTAGAGATGATCTTGGAAAAAACCAACAAATTTGAGAATCAACAATTACTTCAGCAGTAACCCCACAGAAGCCCTTCCCCAGCCTCCCCGCCCCTAATATTGTGGAAGGGAAGCAAGGCGGTCACGGGTTGTGTGTGTGTGTCTGTGTGTGTGTGTGTGTGTGTATGTGTAAAATGAGGAGGGTTGAGGGGGCAAGGGGGGTATGTGGGAGGGGGTCATAGCAGGGACAAGGTGACACAGGGAGCACAGCCGGGTGAACAGCTTCACTGATTTGTTCCAGAGGCGGGCAGGACTCCAATTCCATTAAATCACAATTTTTACTGCAATGAAGGGTATGACCTCCTCACTGTGACAAGGACCCGGATGCTGGTGGAGGGAGCCACGCAGACGCCTCAGGAGCCGGGCACCCAGTCTACCAGCTTCCACTCAAGAAAGGATTTGCCCAACATACACTGTAAACCTTTCGGATACAAGGAAGCCTGGGAAGAATCAGCCTAACGTGAAAGCCCTTCTCATCATCCCATCTAAAAGGAAAGCAGGAGAACCGCGCCCGGGAACAAAGCCCAGAAATAACAAGCCCAGCTCGGGCCCTCGGACAAACCCCAGGGCACACATGTGGGACCCCGAGTACCAAGCCCGCCGCACTGCAGCCCAAGGACGCATCTCACATACACATTTTGGCTCTGGAAGGCTCGGATCGTTTTTAATGGTAATCTTCTTCGCTTCCTCCAGGTTCTTCTCTCTTCGCAGATTGTCTTCTGCCTAATTTTACAGATAGGGCAATATGGTAGCGTTGTTATTTTTTGGTATTTTTTTTTGGTCTGGTTTTGAGGGTCACTCTTGGAAGGGGACCATGTCATAACAGGAATCAAAACCAGAACTCCAGGTTGTTCCAGCCCTTTGGGTCCCCTCCCCAGAGGTGTTCCAGGGCTCAGGGGCCACTCCTGAGCCGTGTGGGTCTAAGGGTTTGGTGCTTGAGCCCCCCAAAGTGATGTTCCTGGGTTTCAGGGGGTCACTGGGGCTAACATGGTGGTGCTCAGGATTCAACTCAGGCCTCACACATGCAAGCTGAGCTCCATCACCCCGAACTACCCCCCAGGCCCACGCCTAGCGTTTCCACCCCGGGGAGGCCAGAAGCACCGCTCACCTCCTTCTTTTCCCGCGATTCACTCTTCATTTGCTCCCTGTGCCACATTTTCTTGATGTTCTTCATCTGTGATTTAGAAATGATGTCCCACCGCTAGGGGGAGACACAGACACTCAGTTTTTCCAACAGCTGTGTTCGGATAAAAAACGTATCACACCAAGTATTCTGTGAAGTGTGTCTCTGGTCCTACCTCATTTTCCTTTTGCGAATCTACGTAAATGGTAGGAAACGGTTCTTTTCCTACTGTCATCAAGGCCTGGAAGGGGGAGGGAAGGGAAATTTCTTTAGTACTGTGCAGCATTTCAAATCAAAGCAATGCCTAAATTCCAAGGAATTCAGTCACTTGGGAGATAATTAAATAACAAGAAGAAAACGTAAGAATCCCCAATGCAAAAAAAAAAAAAATCGGGGGCTGGAGTGATAGCACAGCAGGTAGGCCATTTGCCTTGCATGCGGCTGACCCGAGTTAGATTCCCAGCATCCCATATGGTCCCCTGAGCATTGCCAGGAGTGATTCCTGAGTGCAGAGCCAGGAGTAACCTGAGCATCACCAGGTGTGACCCAAAAAGCAAAAAAAAAAAAAAGAATCCCCAGAGTTTTCTAGCAAGTTTGATGGCTCCGTACGTAGTTTTCTAGCAAGAGGTTTTAAGTGAACAAAGAAGCCCAAGTCTCTGTAACTTTCTGTGGGGGAAAAAAAAATTATAAAACCAAACAAACAAAAACACAGAAACAGTAACATAATGAAATATACCAAAGGCTAAATATCACTAGCCTTTAAAAATTCCCTAGAGAGAATTTTATTTCTCTATCCTTCCATCTCCCCCTTTTCTTTTTTTAACCAATATCGCCATGATTTTGAAAGAAGAAATACTGATTAACTGCTTCAAATGTTCCTACACATTTTTTCCCATTACTATTAACCAAGAAATGTAAATAACTACTCTCCAGTTGTAAGCTCTGAAATTTATTAACCTAAGTTTCCAAAAGCTAGCTCCCAGACCCGAGAGATACTTTTGCCAAGACTAGTTCGAACTCAGATTGCTACCGAGGAAGAAACTGGAGTAATTTAAAAACATCCCAGAATTCACTTTTTTCATGTGTCTTAAACCACACACGACATCGGGTGCTGGTAAAGCATTTGGATTCCCCTGCTCTGGGGAGTCGGTACTGATGCCTCTTTAACCCTGAAACCCGACCCCAGACTAGAATTCCTGAGTCAGAACAGCTCGCAACAGAGCAAGTTCCCTTAAGTGCGAAAAAGTGAGCGACGCACCAAAGCAGACAGAGCTGACAGGAAAGAGAGAATGTTTCCAGAGACGGGCCTCGATGATAACCTATGTGAATGCTGCAGTTGGCACAAAAGGGGGCTTGAGGAGGCAGGAAAGATGGGAGAACAAATGTGGGCCAGAGCTACTCCGATCCTGCCAAGGTGGGCACGGGGCTGCGTTCCTCAAGGCAGCTGGAGCCACTTGAGGTCTTGCTCGGGCTGTTTTTTTTGCTAGTTGGGGAGGGGCCCAGGGCTTACTCCTGACATTGTGTTTAGGGATCACTCCTGGTGGGGGCTTGGAAGGATCATACGAGGTCACGGTCCTCCCGTTTATTCATCAATTTGCTCGAGTGGGCCCAGTAACATCTCCATCGTGAGACTTGTTGTTACTGTGTTTGGCATATTGAATACGTCACGGGGAGCTTGCCAGGCTTTGCCGTGCGGGCGAGATACTCTCGGTATCTCCAAAAGGAGCGGAGGAATCGAACCCGCCTCAGCCGGGTCGGCTGCGGCAAGGCAAATGCCATACGGCTGTGCTATTGCTCCAGCCCAACCATACGGGGGGTACCAGGGATCAAACCTAGGTCGGCCTTGTTCAAGACAAGTATCCGACCCGCTATACTATAGCTCTTCTTGATGCCGGTGGGCCCCTCGGGTGACTTATGTGAAGCGGAGAGGAGAAAGACGGCCACTTTCTCCCTATCCGTCTCTGCCACCCGGGACCTAGGGTTACTGGGTCCTTGTCTCACCTCGAAGAAAGGAGTTTCAGGAGCAGCAAAGTAAACAGATTTTATCTGGAGGGTTTTTGAAGATGTGGAGGGGGAGAGAGTAAGAGAGAAATGAGCTCAAGAGAGAACGCGAAGAAAGCCCCCAGACACGTCCCAGCATTGGACATAAAAGTGAAAGGACACATCTCAAGAGGGGAGATGCGGGCGCCACATGTGCTCGGCCACATGGGCGCAAGCAGCACATGGGCTCGGGCAGCATATGCGCGCCCCTCCTTCGTTCCAAGTGGCCTTCAACCTGCCCCCATGTACGGCTTCTACCTAGGTCAGAGTCAGTTGCTAAGGAGGTTGGGGGGGGGGGGGGTGGGGGTTGGGAGTGGTGATGGTGTTTCCTGAAATTCCTTTCCTGGCCTTTTGTTCCGGCAGGAGCTTCTCTGGGTCTGTTGCTGGAGCCAGGGGAGGGTCTTATCAGGCCTTAGTTCCGGTTTTCTGCAGAGCTGGCTTCTGCCACTGCCTTGGGAAGGGGCCTTCCCTGTCTACCTGTCTACATGATTCTGTGAGGCAGCTTTTTCTTTTGAGGGAGGGGGGACAGGGAGCACATTCAGTGGTGCTCAGGGATCACTCCTGTTGGTGCTTGGGGGACCATACGGAATGGTGGGTGTAGGATAACAATGGTTTGTCCTTTCTCCCTTGCCACAGAGAGCTTAGGTTTATCGGGTTACACCCATCACAGTGCTCCCCGAGTCACTCCCATTCCTCTGTTTATCTGTTTTTTTGGTTTTTGTTTTTGTTTTGTTCTGGTTTTTAATGTAAAGTACTGCTATTTATTTAGCCACTGATTAGGCTGATTGAATTAGGCATGAACTCCACTCCTCTGTTTATCTGTAAACTCTTCTCTGTGCTCTCCTTCCCAGCCAGTTAATCGCTTTTTCCCCTAATCAGATTCTGTAAGATCAGATCCTTTTAGGACATTGAACTTGAATTTTAAGTTAAATATTGCTTTTCTCTATCTTTGACATAGTTTACCTTAAAGCAATGTCCTTTCTGTATGGACACAGGAAAACATGTGTAACTTGGGAGTTGATTGACTCGGAATAATATTTACTCCTGGGCATCTGCTTTCTTCTCAGTTGCCCTTAGTTCCTAGCACCCCTAAAGCAGGGTATGATGGACTGAATGGACCCAGGATAAGTTGTGAGCTACTCTGGCATGGAAATGGGCCAGGCCAAAGCACCATGATACTCAACTATAAGTTGAGGGCATCATCATGGACAAATGCTGTCATGATCCAAAAGTAACGACGAGACTAGGACCCTGCTGGAATTAGGAAGACTAACCTGTCCTGAGGACTGCGGTCTACATACATACATACATACACACACACAAATATATATATATATATATATATATATACAGTGCAAAATATATAGGGAGATGTCCTCAGGAAGAACCAAACTGTAAGTTTATATCTCTTACTGTGCTCATACAGAATGACAGTGCTAGAAATATTAGAAGATTTACTACAACTATTTAAGTGGATTACTAGCTGAGGAAAGAACACATCCTTGTTGGGATCCCACCCTTGAGCAGATCTCCTAGTAGTCTGGAGTAATCTCTTTAGATGAGATTTTATCCTTGAGTTAATCTCCTGGAGGAGTGGCTTTACCTCTCTTTGTTGATCTATTAATGTTCAAACCACCTTTATGTCACCACCTATGTGATTGCTATATAAAGTAAGACTGTAAGGATCAGACGGGCTGGGCGGGGGGAGGGAGAGAGAAGAGAGGGGGAGAGAGAGGAAGAGAGACAGAGATAGAGACACAGAGAGACAGAGACACAGACAGACAGACAGAGAGGCAGAAAGGCAGAAGGGGAGTGGAGATTGGAATAAACTACAATTGATACCGACCAGCCTGGCCCTTGTTCCTTCCTTTGCCTACCCATCGCCATGGGCCTCCCTGGGGTGGGGGAAGTGGTTGAGACCACTGATCGCAGGCGGAGAGGAGAGATAGAGCACTGCTGCCGGCTTTTGAAAACAAAGGTAGGGATTGAACCTGGGTCAGTGGCATGCAAGGCCGGCTCCCTACCTGCTGTACTACCACCCCAGCCCCAGGAAGCAGCTTTAAAGGTGATGCCATGGCCCCATTTCCTCCTATCGCAGTCACCAGACTCACTCTCCGTCTTGGGTACCCTCCAAGTACCCTCTGCCTGCACCAGGCTTCCATTCGAGTTAGCTTGGACCAGGCTACACTCATCGAAGGGCCCTCAGGCCTAAGAAACTCAGCACAGGAATAAGGGTGTATGCTGATATCCACACCAGTCTCCCGAGGTCCTGGATTCCGGAGTGCTCTGAGACAAGTGTCCATTCTTGGGGTGCTTTATGTAAATCAGGTCTTTCCAGACCGGAATTCGATGATGCAGCAAAGCTCGATGTGACTGAGCACAGATGACTTTATGTTCACAGTCACGGAAGACCCAGTCTTCTAATTCTCGGCAGGGAAACATCCTGAGATAAGGTGTTGTCAGGTTAAGAAGAAAAAGATACTGTTTGGAAATGTCCAAATGATCTCACACCCAACAGGCTGCCTACCTGTGCGCATTCCTTACTTTTCCTTCTCTGAGAATTCTCTTCCAAAAATCTAACATGGCATGTAAAATTTCTCGGCGGGCCACCCAGCAGTTGGCACAAACCACAAATCAATGCCAAGTCATTGTGCCTGAGAGAGACTGTACCTTCAGGCCGGTTTTAAACGGCTTCTCCTTGGTGCCATCCCCCGTGGCATCGTTGCCCTCGCGGTCGGAGACATACAGCTCTGCTGGTTGACAACGTGGAGAATGAATGAGTTAGTCCTGGGGGCACCGCGCACCAGGGCAGCAGGCATAATTGATACCAAGGACCCGCCCGAGGAGAGGGATACACTTCCCCACTCTGTGCCAAGGGCACCCAGCTCATGGAATCATACTACTGCCACGCGTGGCTTTTTCCAAAGTGAACCTGGTGCCCTCTGGTCCACGCCGCTGCTTGCATCTACCTGCGCGCCACCCCCCCCCCCCACATTAGAGCAAGTGGCCGTCCAGAGAGGCACCCCAGATGTCGTCGCCGTGGCCTGCAAGGCTGGGGGAGACCCCGGGGGAGTCGCTCTAGCTCGAGGCGCCTCTTTGCTCAGTCTGGAAGGGGAAACCCATCCCCACCGTGGAGCGCTGTTCCGAGCGAGCGAGCGAGCAAGCAACCGGGTATCCCAGATGGGTGCCAGAGCTCGGGGCCGGGACCCGGAAGTCATTCTGCGCGTCCCCGCGAGGAGCCCGAGCTGGGTCCAGTGCTCCTGGGCCTTTCCCTCCCCCTCCCCCTCCCCCTCCTCCTCCAGCGGTAGCACCGTCTGGTCCCCCCCACCCCACCCCCGGGGATCCGCACGCGCCCGGGGGTGCGCGGGGGTGGGCCGGGGGAGGGGTCTCAGCTGCGCCCGAGTCTCTGGGCACAATCCCGGGCTTCTGCAGCTCGCGCCGGGCGCGGTCGGGCGGCGGCGTGTGGGCCCCGCACCCTCCTCTCCCCCCGGCCCGGGACCCCCCACCCCGTCCCGGGCAGCGCCCACCATGCCCCCGGGCGCCCAGGGCCGTGCAGGGCGACGGCCGCGCCCCGCCGCCCCCGCTCACCTAGCACCATCTCTGCGACAGCCCTGGTCACCTCCAAGGACATCCGCCACGGCACGCCGCCGCCGTGTCACTCCACCATGCACTGGCCGCTTCCTTCGCTCGGACGTTGCATCATAATACCCCGTCGGGCCGCGGGCGCCCCCGTGAGTCACCGGACGTCGCGGTGCCATTGGCTACGGGACGCGGGCGAGCGGCGCCGGCGCCGCCATCTTTAGACCGGGCAAGGGCCACTTCCTGGTTCGGAGCCCCGCCCCCCGCCCAGAGGCTCTTGGGAGACGGCGCCGCTGAGGGCCTGTGCTCTGCCCTTCCCATTCCTTCTGGGTCTGGCAACTTCCTGTCCTGCAAACTGGAGCAGGGAATTCTTTCTTTTTTTCCTTCTTTCTTTCCTTCTTTCTTTCTTTCTTTCTTTCTTTCTTTCTTTCTTTCTTTCTTCTTTCTTTCTTTCTTTCTCTCTTTCTCTCTTTCCTCCCCTCCCTACCCCTCTCCTTTCCTTTTTTTCTCCCTTCTTCCCTTTCTCATTCAGCAGGTAGACAGGGAAGCCCCCCTCCCCCAAGGCAATGGCAAAAGCCAGCCCCGCAGAGAATAGGAAAAATAGGAACTAAGGGCTGATAAGACCCTCACAGACCCAGGGAAGCTCCTGCAGAAACAAAAGGCCAGGAAAAGAATTTCAAAGAAGACCATCACCTTTCCCAACCCCCCTGGTAACCTCCTTAGCAATGGACCCACGTGGGGCAGGTTGGACAAACCCTATAAAGGCCACCTTGAACAAAGGAAAGGCAGGCGTATGCTGCCTGAGCCTATGTGCTGCTTACGCCCGTGTGGCGGAGCACATGTGGTGCCTGAGCACATGTGTCGCCCGCTTCTCCCCTCTTGAGATGCATACTTTCATGCTTTCGTGCCTAATGCTAGGATGAGTGTAGGGTCTCTCTGTGCCCTTGGAGAAGGCCGGGTTCTCTCTTGAGTACGTTACTCACTCTCTCCCCCTCGACATCTTAAAAATCCTCCAAATAAAATCTGTTTATTTCACTGCTTCTCTATTCCTGAAATTCCTATCTGCGAGACAAGGACCCAGTAACCCTGGGTCCCAAGTGGCAGAGGCTGTTGGGGAGAAAGTGACTGTCTTTCTCCTACCCACTTCACATAAGTCACCCATAGGGCCCACCGACATCACTTCCTTCCAGCTGAACACAAACCAGAACAGGGTATTCTTGCTTGCTTGCTTGCTTGCTTGCTTGCTTACTTTTTTCTTGCTTTCTTTTATTCTTCCTTCCTTCCCCTCTCTTTCTTATTATTTTTATTTTTTCTTATTATTTTTAAATTTTCCTTTTTAAAAAAAATTTATTTTATTGTTGTACTGTGAGACTCACAGTTTCAAAGTTGAGTTTCAATAAGGCCCAACTTACTGAAAATGGAGAGAGGGAGGAAATGCCTGTCATAGAGGCCAGAGGGTGAGCGACCAGAGGAAAGCTGGGACCACTGGTGATGGGAAATGTACACTGGTGAAGGGAGGGATGTTGCAACATTGCATGACTGAAACCCAATCATGAACAACTTTGTAATTATGTATCTCATTGTGATTCAATTCAAAAAGATTTTGAAAAAATAAAAGTTGGGTTTCAGTCATACAGTGCAGGACAGGGTTTTCTTGCCACACCTCCTTACTCTCCAGAAGCTGAAAAGTTTATGAAATTGCCATCATCCTCAAATGTTCCAGCTCCAGCAACCAGATGTAGTGATGGTAGAGGATGTCCTCCCGTTGTTCAACGATTTGCTCAAGTGGGCCCAGTAACGTCTCCATTTTGAGACTTGTTGTTACTGTGTTTGGCATATCGAATATGTGACAGGGAACTTTCCAGGCTTTGCTGTGGGGGCAAGATACTGTCGGTAGCTTGCCAAGGCTCTCCGAGAGGGGCAGAGGAATCGAACCCGGCTTGGCCAGGCTGGCTGTGCGCAAGGCAAACACCCTACCGCTGTGCTATGGCTCCAGCCCAGTGGAGGATGACGAATATAAATAATAAATAGGGTTGCACACTGTGTCTGGGCCGTAGCTATATCATACAGCATCACAAAAAGCAAAACAAAAAACTTTCACCTGTATTGACCTGTTTTGAAATATGAAGGCTCTGAAGATACTGTTAGCTGGAGCGATAGCACAGCAGGTAGGGCCCGGCAAGCTACCACCCAGAGTATCTCGCCCGCATGGCAGAGCCTGACAAGTTCCCCATGGCGTATTCGATATGCCAAAGACCGCAACAACAAGTCTCACAATGGAGATGTTACTGGTGCCCGCTCAAGCAAATCGATGAACAACGGGAGGACAGAGCTACAGTGCTACAGTGCTATGAAGATACTGGGAGCCAGAGAGAGATAGTACAGCCAGTTAAGCACTTGCCCTGGTCAAAGCCCCTGGGGTTCTACCTCCACCATCATACAGTCCATGGAGCACCTCTAGGAGTGATTCCTGAGCACCACTAAGTGTCGCAAGACAAATATCTATAAAAAGGATGCTTTACTTCCTAACTTCCATGTAGATGTACTTCTGTGTTAACAACTAGGAAAATGGTGTATTTTTTTTATTGAAAGGTATAAGGATCCCTATTAAGGAGGACATAATGATGTTCTTGTGAGAACTTGGCGTACATCCTGCCTGGGATTCTGGCTGCCTTCTACTGTGTGTTTAGGGATGAATTGCCTACCCTGCCTGGGTTTCCATTTTCCAGGGTTTCTATTATTAAAGAATAATAGAAACTTAGTGCTTTGCACACAATAGCTACTAAATAAAGCGTATTTTTCCTTCTCAACAGAGTGGAACACAAGAGATTCCCCTAGAGTAAAAAAAAAAATGTTATAAAAGAAATACTTTGATTTGGGGGTAGGGGACACACCCGGCGGTGTTCAGAGGTTACTTCTGGCTCTGCACTCAGGGATCAATTCTGGCCAGATTCATGGAACCACTTGGGACTCAATGATTGAACTCGGTTGGCTGCGTGCAAGGCAAGCACCCTATCTGCTGTACAATCTCTCCAGTCCTAAAACACTTTTCTTAAACTGTAGCACTGTAGCACTGTCCTCTGATTGTTCATTGATTTGCTTGAGCGGGCCCAGTAATGTCTCCATTGTGAGACTTGTTGTTACTGTGTTTGGCATATCGAATACGTCACGGGGAGCTTGCCAGGCTCTGACGTGTGGGAGAGATACTCTCAGTAGCTTGCCAGGCTCTCCAAGAGGGGCGGAGGAGTTAAGCCCAGGTCAGCCGCGTGGGCCACGTGCAAGGCAAATGCCCTACCCTCTGTGCTATCGCTTCAGCCCCTTTCTTAAACATATAAATAAATAAATAAGACAAAACCTCCATATGTGTCGATTAGTAATACCAGTCAGGGAGGGGAGAGCGCTTAAGTGGTGGAGCAAATCCCAGGCATGTACAGCCCCCGAATGTGATCCTCAGCCCTTCCCCCACCCCCACCCCCGGGCACCCTGAGCATAAAACCTGTGTCTCCCTGGAGGTCTTCCAGGATTGGAAGGTGTGGTCCCTATAAAAAGTACAAGAGATTCTTCTTCTGACACATAAATGCAAGAATATCACACCAACAGTGTTTCTCCAAGAACATGTGACTCAATTTCATGGACTTTCCCTCTTTGCAGAATGTTTTCTGTTTACCTACATACTTGTTTTCAGTAGCTGCAAAGCAAATGATCTCAGGAATTTAAAACAACAAACGTGCTGTTTCACAGTTTCTTTGAGCGAGAAACTGGGGAGTGACAGAGCAGAGGATTCCAGCACAGAGGCTGACTCATCCGAAGGTGACATCCACCTGGACGTGGTCAGTTCTCATGGCCTGATGGGTGGGTTCCCCATCTAACTGTGAACAGGGCAGCTGACTCTCATCTTCCCTCCAAAGCAAGCGATTAGAGACAGCCTGTGCTTGTGTTAGCTACCCAGTATTATAGAATAAATGAAATAAATTAGCTTCAAACTGTAGGCACGGTTTGTTTTCCTTTTAATTTTTCTGTTGACCCAACAATCTGGGCAGGACATGGCCAGTCGCTCTGGTTCTGGTCTCTCCAAACAGCTTCCACGAAGGCATCAGCTGGGACTCCCATTGTTCCGTAAGGTCAGCCTTTTTCAGTGTCTCCTGGACTAGAATCTCAAACACGCCACCTCCCGCAGGTGCTGCCTGATGGCCTCAGGACCTGACTGACTGTTGGCCAGAGGTCTCTCTCCTGTTCCTTGCCCCCTGAGTATCAGCTGAGCAGCTTGCTTCTTCAGACTGTTATGGGTGACTCAGAAAAGTGGGGAGCATGGTTGTGAAAAGAGTGACTCGAGGGGCTAGAGTGATAGCACAGTCGACCCGGGTTCGATCCCCGGCATCCCATATGGTCCCCCAGGAGTAATTCCTGAGTGCAGAGCCAGGAGGAACCCCTGGGCATCGCCGAGTGTGACCCAAAAAGAAAAAAAAAAAGTGACTTGAGCAAAGAGTGCTTCCACCTCTTTGTTGAATCTACCTTGGCCACCTGTGCTCATGAAATGACTGAGAGAGAGAAAGCCTGGTTGGGGACATGAAACAACTGAGAGAGAGAAAGCCTGGTCGGGGACTTCCATTTGTCTGTTGTCATCTCCCACCCCGGTCATCTTGTTATCTGTTTTGAGAGAATACCTTTCGATGGGAGATATCTAAATTGACCAACTAGGTTAGTTCACTTGGTGCTCTGCCCATCCACTCCCACTGTATCGTTGCCCTCTCTAGGAGTGGGTACCTTAAATTCTTTTAGGGATAAGGGGCAGAGATTCTTCTTCTGACACTACTTCCTGCTGGTAATTGGGCACTGGTTTCTCTGGGGCCCCTAGAGTACCACTCCTGTTCCCTAAGCAGGTGGCGATGAAGGAGCCAGTTTCTCTGATGGCTGAGCAAATGCTCACTGGCATTCCAGAACTCTGAGGAGACAGATATGGTTAGGAGACAAGTGATAACTGAGAAGTGATTTACTAATGACTGTAGAACATTTGTGGAAATAGTCCCGTTACAAAGAGATCCCTTACACCCATAGAAAGATATGGATAGTTTGGACAGAAGAACTATTTACAAGTGAAAATAAGAATACAGCATTCTTATTCTTATGACGGGCACTGGTGGAGGGATGGGGACTTGATCATTGTATAACTGAAACCCAAGCACAAAATTTGTAAGCCTATAA